CCACTGAATGGAACATTCTCTATTGCTGTCCCCTCCCCCTGCAGTGAATCGTCAGAATGAAATGGTGTTTGCCCTTGTCAGGCCCCCCGGGAAGCTAATGCCTTCAGCACATAAGAATGGTTACAACTGGGCCAAAGCCCAGTCTCTCTCCCAGGGGATATGAAGGAAGCAAGCAAGCTATGGCAATTTCAATGATGCTAACATTTCCTCTGACACATTAGAGAGATGTCATCTGAGAGAATGAAGGAAAACAAACAAAAAATACAAACGACTTTGCCCCTTGAATTTCAAACCAGCGTCGACACCAGCTTTAGCTGGATAACAAACTGTCCTGGAATACTTGGCTGCGGATCAAGCACGCCAGCTCCCTGGTTACACCCTCGTCACTGCCCGGAGCAGAACACACTTTAACCTTTCGGCTCTTTCCATAGGTTTGAGCAAGCTCACCACCAGGGCCAGGACTTGTCCCATCTCCAGGAAACTTTATATGTTGTCTAAATCGAGTGTCCCAGCAGGCTGCATGGCAGATGGCAGCTCCAGATTCAGAATATTAACAACGTTCCTACCTGAATCCCTGCCACTGGGGCTGTAACTCACCCACTCTGCCTCTCCAAAATGAGAGAACCCCAGCCACGATGTCAACCACTTCTTAACTGCCTCTCTGGTGACAAGCCATAACAGCATGGCATGTGCAGAAGGAAAGCAAAAGGTGGTCAAGCCCTCGTTATCCCAGGGGGCACACTGCTCTAACCCCCAATGCAGTTCTACCTCTGCCTCCGCTGTTGTTACACAATTGCTTCGAGGTTGGTTAGGTCTCAAGCCATTAGCTACAAGGCATAGAGGCGACCACAGAGGGAAACTGAAACCGCATAGAAGCAAATAAAGCAGTGTTTGGGTCTCAGATTCACCAGGTCAGCACTTCCCAAACTAAATCTGGCTCAAACGTTTTGGACAGACACACATTTTGGTCCTGAGGCACTGGAAGTGCCTTGGGATTAAGGGAAGCTGGGAAAAATTGGGGAGCAAAATAAGAGAAAATAAAGACCCATTTTAGATGGAAAATTGTTACATGTAAGTATGTTTGCTACAAGCCTTCTTCGATATTTCGAGTACCTGTAGCTTTATCAGTTTGGGTACTTCCAATACAAGTCAAAACCCCTCTTCTGACTTAGTTAACAGTCTTTAAAAGTTGGTGTAGCCACCAATATTTTAGATAACAGATGACAATAAGTTCCAAGTGGATACTCAAATATAAAAGGTAATGTAAAAAAAAAAACCCTAGAAGAAAATAGATGAAAATTTTTTTGCTACATATATTTTTGGGGGAGAATTAATTAAATAAGGAAGAGAGGCAATAACAAAACTGTTAACACATAATTTTGGTTACATGAAATTTAAAAACTTTTGCATGAAAATCCATTAGGATAAGGGAAAACTATAAATTGGGAAAAAACTTTTTGCATCAAATGTCTCCTAATGGTATGGTATCTAAAATATATACCCATTAACAAAAATCTATGAGCCATTCCCCCACGGATAAAGGGTAAGAACAAACAGTTCTCAAAAGAACAGCACACCATTAGCCATAAGGAAGAATAAAATCATTAATAACAGAAATACAAATCAAAACCATCCTGAGGTTTCATTTCATACCCAGCAAACTGGCAAAGATAGACAAAAGGCTGAAATAGTCCATGTGGAGAGGCTATGGAAAGACAGTCACATCAGTACTGTTTAGTTCCAACTAACAAGCATCTCTTCGTACCTGCCCTTCTCCCCCCGAAAAGAAGAAAACTAAAATCTTCCAACAAATACACACAGCCCAACAAAACAGACGACCATATTAGCCAGGTCCAAAAATGGGTGCCTCATTTAGTCCCTCATCTGTCAAGCGTGGGGAACACTCCTCTCCACCAGTACTCTGGAATCATTTAGTGTTCATCAGTGCATTAATTTCAAAGGTATTCAACATTTTAACAATGTAATTAGAGTATAAATTGTTCCCCTGGTTCTTTCTTCTCTCTGCATCAAATTCATACAAGGCTTTCCAGGCTTCTTAGCAACTTTCTTCATCTTTTCTTAGGGTAAAACAGTATTCCATTATGTTAATATATGATAATTTATTCAGCCATTCCAATTGATGGACACTCATCCTTAGTTTCTAGTTCTTTGCCAGCACAAAGAAGGGACTTTTCCACTTTCTTTGATTTCTTTAGAGATACAGGCCCAGTAATGAAATTGCTGGGTAACAGGGTATGCATAGCTCAATAATTTGACGGGCAGAGTGCCAAATTTCTTTCCAGAATGACTAAACCAATTCATAGATCCACCAATAGCACACTAATGTACCAGTTGTCTGGCAGCTCCTCCCAACTCTGCCAATCTGATGGATGTGAGTTGGAATATTAGAGTTGTTTTAATGTTCATTTCTCTAATAATTAATGACTGGAACATTTTTTCACATGGCTATAGATAGCTTGGTTGCTTCCCTTTAAGACTGCTTGTTCATCTATCAACCAAGGAATGGCTCTTCTTAAAATCTGAATCTTCTTATAAATCTTGCAAATGAGACGCTTGTCAGAAAAACTCACCGCTAAGATTTTTCTCCATATTAACTGTTTCCCCAGTACTCATAGGAGCACTTTTTGTTTTTGGTAGCCAAAAATTGAACACAAAGTAGGATACCCATCAATTGTGACATGGCTAAACAGACTGTGGTACATGAATGAAATGATTATAGATATAATCAATATGAAGAATTAACAGAAAGATTGAAAGACTTACATGAATTGATACAGAATGAAGTAAGCAGAATAAGAAAAGTCATACACACAATGACTACAATAACACAAGCAGAAATTACAATAAAGTGAAAATGAATACTGCGTGATAAAAAAAAAAAATTTTGGACCCAGAGAAAAGAGAATACATTTCTTTTTCTTTACTGCAGGATGGGAGAGATATAACTTACAGGGGTGAAAAATTACAAATTATTGCCAGAGGCAGTCTATTTATTCACTGATTTTTTGCTCAGCTAAAGTTTTCTCTCTTTTGTTTTAAAATCTTTATTATAAGAGAAGACCCAATGGGATAGCAGAAACTAAAGGCACTGATTTTTAGACATTTAAAACAAAGAAAGGGCTTGATGTGGCCAATTTGGTAGTGAGCCTCTTCAAATTTAATTAGACCAGTTCTTGGTGATGTAGTCCAACACTGGTCCCATGTTTCACAGGACCTTATAGCCTGAAGAACTCTAGGTCACACCTATATGCCACGATGAGGAAGCTAATCTATTATTTTTAGAGTGGAAAATAATGCTAGTATTGAAATTCTCTCTCTCACGGAATCTCTCTTCACAACTATAAAATACCAGGGGAGGTCCCATTGAACCCAGAGTTTGGACAACGGTATAGTCAATTTTCGCATCATCCCATCCTGTTATTCTTTCCTATTAGGCTTTTGGCAACTCAGAAAGACACACTGTGAGTTACCTACTAAAGATGGCTCTTGAATCATGTTGTGCTCAAATTAAATTTGTTCATATAAACACAAAGCTGCGAGGTCTACATCCTGCATGGCATCCAAGACAGGACTGTACAACCATAGACAAAAATTTCTTAAATCTTAACCTATTAGAAAATTTTATGGTTAGCATGGACTTAAATGATTAGTTATCAATGCCAGCTGACAGCCAACAAAGACTAGCACAAGTAACTTTTCCTCCAGTTTGAACACCCCAAACTATTTTCAGAGTTTCCCTGGGCCCAGTTTAGACTTACCAAAAAGAACAGACCTCTTGGGGCAGCTAGGTGGTGCAGTGGATAGAGCACCGGCCCTGAAATCAGGAGGACCTGAGTTCAAATCCGGTCCCAGACTAAACACTTGACACTTACTAGCTGTGTGACCCTGAACAAGTCACTTAACCCCAATTGCCTAAAAAAAAAAATTAAAAAAAAAAATTGTTAAAAAAAAAGAGAACAGACCTCTCCTGCAATCTCATAAATATTTTCTTAAATACAAACAGGCAGAGTATAAACAAATTTACTTCAGGGGTATGCAAATTCTGACTCAATATAAATGATTAGCTACTCAAGAGTGGAATGGGATCCCCATTACAGTGTTTCAATAAAGTTGGGATAAACACCTTTTGGCAGTCTTGTGGATGGGATTGCTCCATCAGGTATGGCAGCTGGATTAGATGACCTCTCAGGTTCCTTCTAACTCTTCTTAGAGATTTTATTATTCTATCCAGACTCTTTTAATCTCCGCGGCCTCCCACCCCGCCACCCCGCCCCATTCTGACTTGTTGGCAACACCACAGGAAGTGTGTGTCTGTTTGAGAGGGTAGGGGGTGGGTCTGGGGAAAGAGAAAAAAAAAAAAGATGGAAAGGAGTTCAGATCCATTGAATGTTTCTCATGACAGCTCCAGCAAAGATATGGTATGTAAGCTTTAGGTGATGGCTCCAATAAAGTTTTCTGGAACATCTTGTGAATTTAATTTATCCATCTGGCCTTATCACTCATTGGTATAAATAAAGATTTGCTTAGGCTAGTTTTCTCTCTGTTAGCAACTGAAAGCTAAGAGTTCATGATTAAAACTACCTATCTCTAGAGTCAACCCTACTCTCTTGAAGGAAAGCAAAGGATGGGAAGAGAAAAGTAAGAGAATGAAAAAAGGAAAGCAGCTGAGACAGAGATCCTCATCTCCAATTATGATTTAAGCCGTGGGTCTCTATATTTAAGTATCTTTATTTTCTTGTTTTAAAAAAGAATAGACTGACAGGATACATACACTATGCTGAAAATTATACTGGAAGAATTAAGACCCACATTAATGGCCAACCCGTGCTAAAAGGAAGCAACTATGTGGCTAGATTAGATAAAATCCATTATGGACATCAGAATGGTTTCCTTGCATTAATTACACTGGCTGGAAGTCTTTAAGAGTGAGGCACAGTTAAGAGAGTTGATAGAAATGTGTCCGACATGTCCAGTGGTAAATCACAAAAAGACTCTAGACTTGGGTAGTGAACCGTGCCTCTACCTCCCAGGAAAGGAAAGAGCACACACAAACACAGGAAGCTGTGGTTTAACACTGGAATCTCGTTGAAAACTTGGGAGATACTGGTAAGGTCAAGGGCTGCTCGCTGGGCTTCACTTCCACACCCTGGTATCTTCGGATAGGATTCGCCTTGTGTACCTACAGAGGGCACAAAAGAAAGAAATAGCAATCATCTATTATGGACCTGTCATTCAGTTTCCAACTTTCTTTTGTAACTTAAAGGACAGGCTGGGCTAAAAAAAAAAAAAAAAAAAAAAAGGATTCCACCCCAATTTCAAACTATTTCAGACTAAATCATTCTTGATGTATAAATAGATGACAAGTATGGCACGCTCCCTTTACTAAAAGGGAGTCATTAAATAAACCACAAAGCATTAGAAACTGCAGAAGTATAGCAATAAAATCATCTTGGGAGGGGGCCTAGGGGAAGAAGAATGGGCACTCTGTAGACAACATTGTGCTACATGTTGTAAGAGATAAGTGAAAAAACTTAAGTTATTGTTCCATTCCTCCTAGAGTTCAAAGAATGGTTAGATAAGCGTGACCATGAAATAATAGCAAACAAAACAACACAGTGTATGATTAAGAGATAAATTCAAAAGCAGAGACTCTATGTACTCTAGAATCAATTCCACTAAAATGGTCAAGGGATTTGGAACTACAAAGGACCTTCAAGACCATCTAGGTCAACCCCTTATTTCACGAGTGAAGAAACTGAGGCACAGAGACAGGGAAGATCTCACCCAAATTACACAGGTAATAAGGGGCAGAGCCAAAGTTTGAACTCAGGTCCCAACCCCACATGTGGTCCTCTTTCTGCTATACTACATTATCTCCCTAAATCCATTAAAGTCCTACTAGTAAGATGTAGTAAAGAGACACACAACACAGTAGATAGAGTTCTGGCCTCAGAGTCAGGAGGACCTGAGTTCAAATCCAGCCTCAGACACTTGACACTTACTAGCTGTGTGACGCTGGGCAAGTCACTTAACCTCAACTGCCTCACCAAAAAGCAAAAAAAAAAAAAAAAAAAGACACAAGCTGCTAAAATCTCTCCCAATGAAAGGACTGACAAGACTAAAGATCCATCATCAAGGTAAGAACATGAACCACAACAGGCAGTAAATGAAGGAATGGGCATTCAGAGAAGGTCATAAAGCTTAGACAGGGAAGGCTGATTGCTCAAGCATGCTCAGAAACTGTGGGGCCCACAAGAAGGCAAACTAGAGTCAGGAATAGGGATTTCAGTTCCAGCTCCCACCCTGAACTACCTGTTTGGCCATCCTTGGGCTAATCCTCTAACTTCTCTCCTCCAGACTTGGCTCATTTGTTAGCTCATTGTTATTAAGAGCTTAAAAATCTCTGAAACTACCTAAGCTGTGAGAAAAGCACTTTGTATAGTCCTATAATATGTGAGCTATTATTTCTGGTGCCAAAGCTTCATGAAGAGACAGGATATGAGCTGTGCCTGAGAGTAGCCACATCTCCACCTGCTGCACACAAAGGCAGGAAAGTAGAACTGAAGATGGAACATCCAAAGGAAAAAGAAGGGCAGCCAGGTGGTGTAGTGGAGAGAGCACAGGACCCAGAGTCAGCGAAATCTGAGTTCAAATTCGGCATCAGACACCTTCTAGCTATGTGACCCTGGGCAAACCATTTAGCCCCTATTTGCCTCAGTTCCTCATCTCTAAAACAGGGACACACTACAGAAGGAAATGGTAAACCACTTCAGCATCTTTGCCAAGAAAATCCTATGGACAAAATACACGGGATCCTGTAGAATCAGACACAACTAAACAACAACAAAGGAGAATTCTGGCCTGACGACAGTTATGGGCTCTAGCTGGGAAGTAGAGGGAAAGAGAATTGGATAGTAAGTAATCTAAATGCCAAGACATAGTATTATATTTGTCCTCAGGGATAGTTTTAGTATTTTCAAACACACTGTGCCAATTCTCAGTAAGTAGTAGTAGTAGTAGTAGTAGTGATGACAATATTTTTGTACCACTTGAAAATTTAAAACATGCTTTCCTTGCAATCTCCCTGTTGGTAAACCATATGTCATTATTCCTATTCTACAGGACCTATCTGGAAAGGTGGGGTAGCACAAAGACTCTCCAACAGAAGGGGTACTCTTTTCCCCATCCAGCGCCACCCCAAATCCAACATGGGCTGTTTGACAGTTAATGTAGCTAGAGGAGGAAGGGACTCGTGCCATCTCTCTTTCTTCCACTTAAAGAACAATCAGTTCTCACCATCCACCCTGCCATAGGCCTCTTACGGGCCTCTAGGCCATACCACCAGACTTGTTCCTATCCCTTACAGACCTCAGTACTCCCACCCACTCTCCTGACATATAACCTAAGGATCTCTGGGCCTTGCTAAACGCCTATCCTTGCCTCCTTGGAACTCCATGAAAGCAGGGACTATCTCAATTTTTATACCCAGAGCTTAGCACAATGCTTGGAGAATTGTGTTGAGTGGACTTGGAGTACAGGCTTAATGAATGCTTTTTCATTCATTTCCAGATAAAAAAACTGGAGTCCTAAGAGGTTAAGTAATTTGCTCAGGGTCACCAAGACTCAAGTCTCATAATTCTAAAAGCAATGGAGAGAGCTCACTACACCACAGATGAGGAACAGAACCAGTTAACACCAGGAGAACCAGACAAATCAGCTGATGCAAAAAAATATGATAATCTTACTCAGAAATAAAAATTTTTATCTCACTTTATTAAAAAACGCACTGTATCAACTGATGCAGGTTAGTCCTCTGAGGTATTCTTAAAATCCTGTCCTTCCAGTGCTCAAAGGCAAGTATCGTGTGACTTGTTGAAATCAAAGACTCCCTTGTTTGCTCTGAAACATGTGTCAGAGTGACCCAACAAATGAATGGCCGAGCAGAGCACTGTGACCTGAGGCTCCCCTCACAAGACATCTACTCCGTTACCAATTCTTGTCGCAGTTTTGCGAGTTCTTCCTTCTTCTGCTCCTCTTCCCGCTGCCTGGCCTCCTCGAGTTTCTGGGCTTTCTGCGCTTCAACCTCAGCCATCTGTTTCTCAAATTCCTGCCGTTCTCTGGCTCTCCTCTCTGTTGCCAGCTGAAAAGGTTCCTGAACTATGGAACCAGAAAGGTCCTCTGAGTATAGAGACAGACAAGGAGAAGCTTTATAGAACTAGACAAAATCATAAGCAAATTTGTACGGGAAAAGACATGACAAGAATATTAAGAGACACACTGAAAAGAAAACTAATAAAAGGAGCCTGGTACTCAGACTTTAAAATATATGACAGAGATTATCAAAACCGGTACTAGGCAAAAAAATAAGATACAGATCAATGGAACTGAATGGATATACAAAACATATAGCCAAATATATACACAAAAGATTAGCAATTGATAAACTTCTATAGTAACTGGGAAAAGGATTCATTATTTAACATTAACATTTTATATTAACATTTAACATTATTTAACAAATGTACTTGGGAAAATGGCTGTCAGTTTGGCGGAAAAGCAATTTAGATCCACATCTTACATCAAATAACGTCTGTGAGTTCCAGCAGAATGAGATACAAACATAAAAAAAGAATTCTAAGAAAATGGAATTTAATATTGATCTCAATTGTGGAAAGCAGACAAATTTAATTCAAGTCAACAAATAAAAGAAATTAATGGAGACAGGACAGATTGTTTGACTATGATGAAAGATTTATAAATTTTCTATATAACTAAAAACAAGTAAAAGAAAAATAACAGCTTGGGAAAAATAGTTATAGCAAATATGACACAAAAACTTGATTAGATATTTTCAACCTCTTAATAGAAACTGTTAAAAAGTCAGTAACACATAGTTTTCAAAAGAGGCAGAAACTGTTAATAACCACTTGAAAAAATGCTTAACTTTACTAATAACCAAAAAGATATAAATCAACATAACTTTTATGTATCATCTGGCACCCATCAAATTGGTAAAAACAGATAAAAGCAACTAAACTCAATATTGGAAGGACTGTGGCAAAACAGGAACGATCATTCATTGCCAGTGGAATTAAAAACTGGTATAATCTTTCCAGAGAGCAAAATAAGAGGAGGTAATTAAGGTTACAAAAAATAAGTATACCTTTCAACCTAATAATTTCTTTGTTAGGAAAGTACTTTATAAATATCATCAAAACAAACAAAAAAAGTTGTCTGTACGGGGCAGCTAGGTGGCACAGTGGATAGAGCACTGGCCCCGGAGTCAGGAGGACCTGAGTTCAAATTTGGCCTCAGACACATGACACACTAGCTGTCTGACTCTAGGCAAGTCACTTAACCCCAATAGCCTCACAACGACAACAACAACAACAACAAAAAGTTGTCTGTTGCAAAGATTTTCACAGAAGCATTATATGAAATTGCAAAAGACTAAAAACAATCTAATTGTCATCATTAGTTAAGTAAATTGTGGCATACTCATGCAATGAAATGTTATAAAGCAATGATGATGAACAAAGATGAAAAGTACAAAGAAACCTAGAAAAATTTACAAAATAATACAAAGTAAAAAGCAGAACCTGACAACTGGATTATGCACTAATTATATCATCTGTGTAAAAGTGAATGTGAATGAATAGAGAATACTGATGCAGACTGAGAGGAAAAACTGAAAGTTTTGATGCTTTTAATAACTATCTACATTTAAGTCTATACTGATATCCAACAGTCTAATAAAAGAGTAAATAACAGCACTTACCTCACAAGGTTGTTGTGAGGATCAAATGAAATAATGTATGTCAAATATAATATAAATGAGTAACTACTTTTTGGCTATGGACTTTTACTGCACCATGAGCTGGAGAACATTTATCCATTTGGACTTAGAAGGGCTCACAACTGCAGGAAAATGCCATTAAGCTGAGCTTGAATGCACAGAGATGGTGGCAAGTCCTCCTTCCCTCAGAGGACAGAATTGCTTTCTAGAAAGAAGGGGTGATTTTGTGCATACAGAGCCCTCCCTGATGGCACAAAAGGAACAGTTTCATTTTTTTCTGCATTTGAAAATACCTGGACAGAATGATTATCCATTGAAGCCTGTGAAATGGTTGGTAAGGGTTGGCCTTCCCAGTGAGGACCAGAAACATTTTTATATGTTTGATCTCTAAAATTTTATATAATTGCTTATGTCAAAATTGCTTTGTCTACCAACTAAAGAGCAAAAACCACAAAAACAATTTTTAATAATGTAAGGTTTACTTCTAGATTCTCTGCCATTTGATAAGCTTGCAATTTTACAAAGTACACAAAATTCATATCTATAGCAATAACTTGATTTGTAAGGGTATTCAAAGAATGAATATTTCAGCCCAAAATTGTCAAAAAATTTTCTTAAATAGGTTTTTGCATTTTTATGCCTTATGAAATATGGTATACTAGAGATGAGAGCAGGTAGATGGCACAATGGATAGAGTGTTGGGCCTGGAGTCAGGAGGACCTGAGTTCAAAACCAGCCATATACATTTACTAGTTGTGTGACCCTGGGCAAGTCATTCAACCCTGTTTCCCTCAGTTTCCTCTCTGTAAAATGTAAAATGAGTTGGAGAAGGAAATGGAAAACCTCTGCAGTATCTTTGCCAAGAAAGCCCCAAATGGGGTCATGAAGAGTCAGACATGACTGAAAAATGACTAAACAACTGTGAGGGACTGTCTATGTTGGCAGCTACCAGGTGGGCGTTGTGGCAAGATTGGGGTAGAATCTGGGTATTTGGAAGTGGAAGCAGGGGCTGTGGTAGGCGGAGTCGTGGTGAACTGGGATGGGCTGGGTACGGAGAAGCCCTGAGGCAGTGGGCAGTGCTATGTGAGATAAGCTGGGTGCAAGGAAGTAGCCAGAGCTTGTGCTCCTGAGGCAAGGGGCGGTGCCACGTGGGAGTGGGACAGCAGAAGACGAGTTCCCTTTGCTTAGAAGGGGAAATCCGAACCACTGGGTAGAAGTCGGAGGTACTCCCAATGCAGCCCCCAGGGCGCATTCTGAGGGGGTTGGGCCTCCATCTGGTAAGCTTGTTGAGGGGCCCTCGAGGGGCCCCTTTCCCCGTTTCTGACTTTGGCTTGCGGCACTCCTTAGCATAATGGCCGGATTTGTTACAATTGTAACAAATTACCTTAGGGCAGGCTCCACCAGGTTTCCGGCGGCACTGCGCCTTAAAATGACCGGCTTTTCCGCATTGATAACACAATCTAGTCTGTTTTGTTTTCAGCACCTCTGATAGCCCTTTTGAAAAAGCCCGCAGCGAGGGCGTCCATTTGAAAGGCACTGGACCCCACATGTTCACATCTCTTTATCATTTCCTCTAGGCCAGCATCATTATCTAATGTAAGCATAGCCTTCTGGCAATTTGCATTGGCACTGTCCCGTGCTAGCCTCTGTATAATGAGGCTTGCGGCTTCTCCCCTGCCCACGGATCTCTCAATAGCCGCCTGTAGGCGGCCACAAAATCCAGGAAGGGTTCATCAGGACCTTGTTTAATCTGGGTCATGGAGGGTCTTTGTTTCCCCGAAGCCTGAATCCTGCCAAAAGCCCGTAGGGCACATTGGGAAACAGCTGCAAACACTGTATTTAGTGTCTCTTTCAACTCCTTAAATTTCTTCCATTCTAAAGGCGCCCAGGTCCTCCCTCCATCGGATAAGTGTGGGGGAGGGGGCTGCCCCTCCGCGTGGCTTTCCTTGCTACGGCTTCCTGCTCTCTCTTTGCTCCTACTCTCCCGCTCCTGCCCTCCTGCCCGGCCTTGCTTTCTTTTCTCTTGCTTATTTTCCCATTCCCTGTTTCCAGTATCCTCTGTCTCACTCCCTGAGTCTGTCTCACTCCTTGATTCTTCCTCACTACTGATTTTCGCTTCTTTCACTCTTTTATATACTTCTTTCCCTTGCACCTCCCGATCCGGGACCTTAACAAACAATTGTCCCATCTTTCTTCTTTCACCCTATCGGCTACGGGTCTCGTCTCTCTTCCCGCGACCAGACCAGCTGATCCACGGGGCCTCTGGCCTATTTCCTCCGCCCCACGTTGGGCGCCACTTGTACCGGCCGCGCCGACCTTATGCCAGCCGCGCCGAACACTCCTCCTATAAGGAGCAGGCTGCCAGAGTCATACTCACTCATCAGTCTTTGGTCCTCAACCAGATAAACACACAGAGACGAGCCATCGGGAGGCGCCAACACCAGAGCTTTATTCAGAGGCCATCACAGCAAGGCCAAGCAGGAAGGCCAGAGCAACAGAGCAGGAGCCAAGAGAGCGCGTGATCTGACCACGCTCGTTCCTTAAGTACCTCTAAGCCCCTCCTCCCCAGCCCGCTTACTAGCCAGTGATTGTAGGGTCAGATACCGGAAGGGGCTGTCTGAGTTTAGCACACCAAGGGAGAGGGAGTGACGTAGGAGGCTAGGACCGGATACAGGAAGGAGGCGTCTGGGATTAGTGCATAGACAGAGTACGTGATCTAGGAAGTCAGAAAGGACACAGGAAGGAGGCGTCTGGGGTCAGTGCTACACAAAGGGACCCAGGAAGTCAGGAAGGTCAAAGGAAGGAGGAGTCTGGGGTTGACGTTGCATTTAGGGAGGGGACTAAGCAAAGGGAACTCGTCCTCTGCCGTCCCACTCCCACGTGGCACCGCCCCTTGCCTCAGGAGCACAAGCTCCAGCTACTTCCTTGCACCCAGCTCATCTCACATAGCACTACCCACTGCCTCAGGGCTTCTCCGTACCCAGCCCATCCCAGTTCACCACGACTCCGCCTACCACAGCCCCTGCCTCCACTTCCAAATACCCAGATTCTACCCCAATCTTGCCACAACGCCCACCTGGTAGCTGCCAACATAGACGGTCCCTCACAAACAACAACAAATACTAGAGATCATTTTATCTCTGTAAGACTGGACTGCTTCATAATGCTTCAGGTCATCTTTTCAAACAGGTATTATTGTGCAGTATCATAGATATAGAAGATTGGGTTAAATGTGAGTAGACATCAAAACATTCCCTTAAAGTTTAAAAAAAAAATCTTAAATTCATGATATCAACTGGTTTTCTCATCTGCTGCTTCTTACTAATAAAAAAACAAGCAAGGGGAAAAAGGAAGAAAAAAATAGATAGGAGAATATTAGTACAACTAAAAAGCCAAAAGCTGAACTTAGAAAACACGGTTTTTTCTAGGTCTCACTAGAATTTAGGGTTGGAAGAAGGCTTAGAGATCATCTAGTTTAACCTGCTCCATCTACAATTAAGGACACTAAGATCCAGAGAACTTAAGTGACTTGGGCAAGTCACCAGAAGAAGCAGAGGCAGGATCTGAACCTAGGTCTTTAGACTCCAAACCCCATACTCTACTACATTATGCTGTCTGACAACAGCAATTTTAAGTCACGGACAGACAAAACAATGGTTAGCTGCAGATGTGCAACTGACCTGAGAAATTCAGTGCCATACAATGCCTAATTATGTGTAAAGATGAAAGTTTAAAAATGCCACAGAACCATAATCACAGGGCCCTTGGGTAAAAGGAGGAGTTGGCCCTTAGTGCCTAGGGATCCCAAGTACCAGGCCAGTGCTCAAAGAGAGCACCACCTACACCACAATTCCATCAAAGCAATTTCTAACAATATTTTGTATGGGAAATGTCCTGAAGACCTAATCCTGGAAGAAGAGACCTGGCTTTTATTGCCCTCACCTATCCAATACTCTACAGCTGCGAACACTTGCACTTCCTGTTGAAGTGCCAGCCGCACCTACCCAAGCTCTTCTGCCTCTCTGAACAGAACCCAGCCTCCATGTTCCCTTGAGGGCAAAGGAAGAAATTTCCCCTTTCTCCAAAAAGGCCTGTTCTTTAGTGGCACAACTGACTGAGTTGAACCACAAAGTCTCAGCAGTTTCCTCTGCCCTGGGAGTCTCACTGCAACTTCTTCAATCACCAACCCAAGTACTTTGGAAGTAGACACAATAATCCCACCTGATGTTGGTTTTTTTTCTTTTTTGGGAACAAAGGGCTCCTGATGGATGACGGTGTTTGGACGAGCTTTGAAGCAAGCTGCTTCTTTCTGCTGCTTTAAATCTTCTTCAAGCTTTAGAAAACAAAGAGGAAAAAAAGTCAACCATACACTGAGATGACACATTTCTCCAGGTCACTACTCCTCTTACACTAAGGGGAGATTACAGAAGCCTGATTTAAACACATATAGACAATCAGCAACTTAAATATACTAATCACAAAACAATAATCACCCAAACTAGACATTCTGCCAGAAAACACCACCAGTGAGGGGGATTCAGCTGGTTCTTGGGAAGTAGAATTCTGGTGCAGGGGAGGGAATTTCCTACAAACAGGGATCAGGTCATAGTTTCCTTTAGACAGGGGCTCTAAATAATCAGCGAAAACAATGGGAGATTTAGAGTTTCTGAGATTTTTTTCCCCCAGATAAGCTAAGGACTCAGCTCTCAAATAAGGCAACATTTAGTTGACAACTGATTCACCATGTTCATGTTATCTACTATCTAACAAAGTTACTTAAAGTACATTCTCCTGAGAAAGCCTTCCTACCATCCATATTCTGTTTGTCAATGCACCAATATAATAGAATACAATGACCAGGTTTACAGAGTTCCAGAATGTGAAATAAATCAGTCTAACAAATTGATTAGTTAAGTTCTTAAAGATATTCCCCCCTTTAAGGAAATCTAGTAAATGGTGACATGTCCCAGGTAAATGCTGAGAGTGCTACTCTCTGAAATATAATCCTTATGTCAGACAGACAGACAGACAGACTTCCAGTGCAATGGGTCCATCTGTTCTTAGTAACTTCCCCACTGCTCTCCCTCTGTCCTCACCTGCTGCTTCCAAGTCTGAGCCTTAAGAGCTCCTCTCTCATCTGTCTGCAGGTGGAAAGGTTCAAGCTGGGTTAGAGTCTTCACCTTCTTCTCTGGTAGGCTAATAGTATCAAACTGAGGCAGAGGCTGTGCCTTGAATTTAGGAACCTGATCCTAAAATAAAAAAATAGGACGAAAATAAGTGAGTATGAAACATGATTTACTGCATGCTATAGACGGTGCCTCAGAGCTACAATCTCAGATATGCCTAGTCAAATTGATCAAGAATTGGTTGTCATCCGTGATTACTACTGACAGTAATATGACCAGCTCAAACTATAACACCCAATTTCTTCTTAACACACACAGAGACAGACCAGTGGGGCCTTCTAGGGGATTCATGTGTTGCCCCAGGACATCAGAGGAGATTCTTCTCTCTTAGGCCAAGGCTCTGACCCAGAAACAAGAACACAAACTTCCCAACACAGCCACGTCCAGGCTGAACACTGGAGGAGGGGCAGACTTTCTTGAGGTACCAAATCTTCTCTCTTTGATCTAACCCTGTATATACACAAAGTCCTCATTCTACATTGATTCCTCAGCCAAGGTGGGAAGCAGATGGTCAGATCAGCACCAGAAACCTCTGCCATTGAGTACTGAATACTAGTTTCTAAATGAAAACATAGATGTGTCCAAAGGCAGTTATTTCCAACATGCCACATCTATACCTCTGATTCCTAAGCTTCTCCTGCTACTTAACAATCCCAGTGACCAAGAGAATCTCAGGGTACAGACAGCTCTCACTTAATCTAAGTGCACCATTCCACAGACCTCCCCAGCTGTTCCCTCAAGGGGCTCTGTGTGGCAGAGCCCCCTTGGCATGGGGCTGCCCAGTCCTGGAACCCTTCAGTGAGGAGGAGCCTGTCAGGAACCAGAGCCTGTGCAGATGCAGGGTCCTGTCACCGCCCACAGGGAAGTCAAATTTGTATAGCAGGAGAACTGTGGAAGAGCCCAGAGAAGGGAAGCCAAGTCAAGATGTCACAGCGATAAGGTCCAGTACATGGATTCCTAACCTTTTCTGTGTTGTGGACTGGTCAGTCTGATAAAGCCTGTGGACCCGCTCTCAGAATGTTTTTAAATGAATAAATAAACAAACAGGATTACAAAATCTATGTTTTAATTCAACAAGCACTAATTAAGTGTCTAATATTTGTCATGCTAGGCCATCAGACAACAAAAAACAAAAACAGTCCCTTCCCTCAAGGAATGTATATTGTTAGTAATTCACAGATTCTGTGGGTTTTAAAAGGACTTGGGATGATCTGTTCTTTCTATACCCATAATTAAGTTCTGGTTAGTTCCCAGTGGCATTCACCCCCAAGAACTCGAGAATGATCACAACAGCAAGGATAATCAACAAAGTTCATCAAGCTGAGAGATGCCTTCATGACACAATAAGGGGACCAGGCTTTAAGGAGGCTTTTGGAAGTCACAGCAACCCACTTTATGTCTCTGGGCACCTGCCTGTAAAATGAGAAGTTCTCATTGTGGATGAGGTTAGATGGCTCTTCTCTAATGCACAAGTTCTAAGGTATTGACAAAAGAAAAATGCTTGGAAACTGTAGAATGCTGTCTTCAGCTTGTGATATAAAGAAAAGCTTCCTAACAATCAGAGCTGTCCAAAAGGAGAATAGACTACCTTGGTAAACAGTGATACATTCCTCCTCCCCCTTTCCCCATCCCTATCACTGATGATGTTCAAGGGGGAGTTAAACAAGTTTGGTTAGAAATATTGTAGAGTTTATTAGACATCTGTTCTCGTACCAGCGGGACTAGATAACCAACCTATCAAATCCCTTCTAATTTTGGGATTCTGTGGCTCAAAGGTAAAACAATCTAGTCCTTTACTCCCTGTAGGAATCATCTCTACATCTCATCAGGTCTTCATTGAGTCTTCCCGCCCCACCTCCTTGCCCAAGTTGACAGAGAATTCGCCAGCTGTTCCAGCAGCCCATTCCATTAATAGACAGCTCTAATTGTGAAGAAATTCTTACTTACATTTAGCGAATCTGCTCAGTATAACTTTTACCCATTAGTCCCAGTTCCCCCAAGATACTTTCTTCCAAATAATGACACTTCTTATGTTTGAAAGATGTGATTATCTCCCCTTGCTCTCAAGCCATCTCTTCTCTACACTTCCCTAGTTACCTAAACCAAACTTTGGATATATCCCCTGATATATCACCATCTTAGTGGCACTAGTTTGTAACCACCCCTCCTAAAATGTGGTGCCCAAAAGAGTATACAAAATATTCCAAATCTCATCTAACCAGCACAAAATAGAGTGGAACTCATTCTGGATACCACACATTGAGCGTAAGATCTCATTGGCTTTTCTTGGTAGTTGCATCACACCATTGGCCCACATGCTTCAGGACTGAATGCAATCAGAAAAAGGAAAACACTTAGGCTGTAACAATTAAAAGCTAATACTTCCACCTTTAACAGGCTCACTGTATTCATCATTCAGTCTCAGTGCAAAAATACAAACAGCTACCTCTCCTTTTTGTAGCTCTTTTACTTTCTTCTCTTTTTGTAACTGCCGCTCTTTGTCCCGGGAATCAAAGGAGAAGGGGCAAACCTCCACAGTTCTCTGCTCTGGTATTCGAGGCTTAAAGGGCACCCCATAGTGTGGCATGGGGTGAGACTTGATCACTGTTGGTTCTTCTTCTTCCTAAGAGGGAAAAGTCCAATCACAAATAGAGCTCCTCCACATCAAGAACTGTGAATGCTAAAGATGGGGGGTTAGGCCTAAGGATACTGTCCCTACCACTAACTAGCTACATAATATAATCACAGGCAAGGCAATCACCCTCTCCTGGCCCTTTGTCTCATGCAGCAAATGGGAACAACACCTATCCTGCTAAGAGAGAATTTATATAAAAGAACTTTGAAAAGCTCAGAGAGCTATAAAAACTCCCAGACTGTATAGTTTCTGAGTGGAATAAAAGCATTCCATTAAAGGAGCACTAAAGTTACTTACATCTGAACACAGACAGGAAACATCACAATCTTATTTTGGATCCTACTGCCTACTATTTTCCAATTCAGCTCACTGTGATAAGAAGCACACCTTCATTTCACTGTCAAACCTTATGAGAGTGGATTTTTGGGGTACACAGGAGCATACATTTAGAGCTGGAAGGAGCCTTGGAGACTATTCAATCCAACCCCCTCATTTTACCAATGAGGACAGTGAGGCCCACAGAGGTTCAGTGACTTGCCCTAGATCACTCTGCTAATAAAGGTCTGACACAAGACTTGAATCCTGGGCTTCCTGACTTCACGTCCAAGGCCCTATCCACTATGCCATGCTCCCTCTTCCAAAACAAGACTGAGAACGTATAAATGGCTTTGGTTCAGAGTTAACAAGTATTTTAGTTACAAACGTGCCTAAAAAAAAACCTTATGTTAGATACCTGCTATAAAATTACCCTATCCATACAGATATTTATAGACAATTTAGGAGAGGAAACAAGAAACTAGCCTGATCAATGACAGTTTACACATACTGACTTCATGAAACTTTGCCACACAGTGCATCTGTTGGAACTAAGACCCTTGGGGCAGAAAGAGATCAGACAGATGACACCCCTTTATGTGACTTGTAAGAGTCCACTGCAGCTTGGTAACAGTCTGTGTATACTCCAAAATAGGGGTTAGAAACCTAGAACATCATGTACCAAAGACAGCATAATGGCCAATTTCAGGGGCTAATCTCTACTGCCACATCTCTCTAAGGGCCTGAGTTGTAAACTGATCCATTGTGTACAGTGCCCTCAACTCTGCTCTCAAGAGCTGTTGAGGCTACGTACATAAAGAGCTGAGCACATACCTATACTCACAATAACACCCCTCTGCATAGCAAACCAGGGGCTAGAATCTCTGAACTCACTTCTGATAAGTCAATTCTAGACAATGGTAAATTCTGAACTCTAACAACTGTAGGAAGGGTATATATTTGAAGAGAAAAAGTCAGTGAATTGAATCCCTGCCCACCCCCTCCCCAAATCACCTCATCTTCTCTGGTGAGTACACGGACTCTGTTCTTCAGGGCAAAGGCAGGAGATCTGGGGATTGTGGTAGGGAGCTTTTTCTTCTCCGGAATACCCTGGGAAGAAGGAGAAAGGGTGCATTAGCTGAGAAGCCAAGTCTACCACAAGGTCTCCCAGGAGAACAAAGACTGTGCCCTGAAGCTTACATACCAGCTGCTTGCCTTCCTAAGTACCTACCCAGAGAACATTCATTGACATTCAGTTTCTACAGAGTTAAATGACTCTTTCAACACTTAATACACACAAGATAATCAGTCTCATTATTTTACTGACACACTTAGTTCATTCATCCATTGTATTCACCAGCCATGGCTCATAAGTACTTTGTAACCACATCCAGGAGAAAAAACAAAAATCAACCTCACCATTTAGAATTTCAAAAAAAACAAAAAAACAAAAAACAAAAAACCAAGTCATAGACTTTATTCTTTGTTTCAAGGGAAGGTTCTTGGGAGGTAAGGAGAACTAATCTAAAAACAAAAGGCACCAGGAAAACTTTAAAAAGTTTTTTTTTATAAAAAGTATCACTGGACCTGAAGACAATTCCAAGAGGGGTTCCTAAAACGATTTTGAGCAAAAGCAACATTGATGAAATAAAAGGTGCAGGAGACAGAAGGCTGTACTTGGAAGTTTACCACAATGGAAAATTGAGGGTCGAATTCCACCTTAAGGGGAGTATGGCGGGAAAGTGCCAAAAAGCGTAGGCATTCAAGATGATGACTGAATGGCAAAACATTTTTTATACTTAAAATGTCCTGATGTATTTCTTTATACCATTCCCTCCGGGGTAGCTAAGTGGCGCAGTGGATAGAGCACCAGCCTTGAAGTTAGAAGGACCTGAGTTCAAATCCATACTTACTAGCTGTGTGACCCTGGGCAAGTCACTTATCCCTGACTGCCTCAAAAAAAAAAAAAAAAAGATACTATTCCTTCCCTCCTAAATAGTAGAGTCTCTCATCAAGACTAATACAAAGTATATAAAATAACTTTGAGGGAGACTTCTGGAAAAGTGTCATTACTCTTCCCAGAGAAAGCCTACAAATACTAGATAGACCATATTGAAAATAAGAGGGGCTAACAAGGAGCTACCGTATGGAATTAGACAAAAATTGTAAAATCTTTTATTTAGAGCAGAGGTTCTTAACTTTTTTTGTGTTGTAGACTTTCCCCTCTGGCAGTCTGGTAAAGCCTAAGGACCCCTTCTTAGAATGTCTTTAAAAGCATAAAACAAAATATGTGCAATTTCAAAAGAAATAAATCGTATTAAAACAGCTTTTACTAAATTAATTTATGGAATATTATTTAATTATTAATTTAATATGTGCTAGTAATACTTTTTTTTAAAGTTCATGGACCACAAGAACCGATTTAGAACAAAACATCAATAATAATAGTAATAATGATGACAATGGTCAAGAGAAATAACGAAAAAAAGTAGTAAGGAAGGTGGAAAGTAGTATTATTAGATCTCAAACCAATTTCAAAAAGGAGTAATCAAAACTACTTGGTACTATATGAACTCATGCATACTGAAGTAAAGAGAACCAAGAAAATAATATGCATAATAACTACAAAAAAAAAGAAATGCAAAGAACTAAAAAATCTGAATGCTGAGTGATTATAATGACTAAGTTTGAGTCCAAAGAATCTAGTCAATTCTCTCCTTTTACTGAGGAGAGTTATGAGAAAGCACCATGCCTTTCTTTCAGTGGTGAGAGACTATCAATGTGGAACACTAAATATACTGTTGGACTCAGTTTTGCTGGGCTGTTTTTTTTTTCTCTTTTTCTTTTACTTTTTTTTTGGTCTATGGTACCTTTTTTAAAATTTTAATTAATTTAGTTTTAGTTTTCAACAATCACTTCCATAAGTTTTTCAGTTTTAAATTTTCTCCCCCTCCCTCCCCAAGACGGCATGCAATCTGATATAGGCTCTATATATACATTCCCATTAAACATATTTTCACATTAATCATATTGTAAAGAAGAATTAGAACCAACAGGAGGAACCACAAGAAAGAAGAAACAAAACAGAAGGAAAAAAATCTCTTTTTTATTCTTAGTTATAAGGGATGGCTTTCTGGGTGAGAGAGAGAGAAGAAATAAATAGCCTGTGAAATAAGCTATTTGGTACTGCTTAAAAAGACTACCAATCACCCAACAAACATTGTATGTACTAGGCAAAGGAGACACAGGGACAAAAGAGAAACCGTTTCCGGAACCTTACAATCTATACAAGCGACACAACATGTATATACAACTATATAAAACTAGGTAAAAGATAATGAGGAGAGGGAGAAGGCACCAGTAGCCAGAGGGACTGGAAGACTCCACACAGGAGATGAAGCTTGAGCAGAGCCTTGAAGAAAACTAGGGATTCAGAGAGACAGAGGAGAGGAGGAAGTGCATTCCAGGTACGGGGGACAGATAGCAGCAAGGAAATGGAATGTCGTGTGTGGGCAAAACTAAGACCAGTCCAGACTCAGATATCATGAATTGAAGGCATTTTCAACTTCATCATCCCAGGGCCCCAACTCTTTCAACTTCAGCTGTGTCTTCAACTACGAGTCTAAGTTTGTTTATTTTTTTTTTTGTGACCTTAAAGTGCTATTCCTCTCTACCCTTAAAGTGCTATTCCTCTCTACTTAAAATTTCATTTCCTCTGGGCTTGGGGAATGAGCTAGAGGTAAAAAGTTGTAAAGAAGGAATGGGAGAGCAAGAAATGCTGAAAAGCCTTGAAGGTAAGAAAATGAAATTTGAACTTGATTCTGAAATCTCATGGCACTATATGGGCAGACACGTAGTATCAGTGAAGGGAGGGGATAATTTTAGCAGAGGCATTTTGAAACTGAATTGAGGAGTCAGATGTAGGAAGACCAGGGCTAGCAGGCACATACTTGCATACCTTCCTGAGGTAAGGTTTGCTTCATGTCTCCCTCCACCCCTTTTAAAAAAAGTTCATTTTTTTAGTCCATGGCTCATTTTTTAGCTTAATACAGAGCTATCCAGGATCATGCTAGTGAGAATACTCCATCTTAACAGCCCATGTTAGTCATCTGTCCATTTGGACCCCCTTGCTCTCAACTCCAGAATGGACCTGGTTATATGAAACTTATCTGATCAACAAATGTGTTCACAGAGGGCAGGCCTCTGTAAAAGGCTTTGAGCTTGTACCTTAGGCTAACTGGCTACAAGAAACACAAAGAAGTATTAAGAACAGGTATTCTATCTTTAAGAAGTTTATAATCTACTGGAAAGGTATGTAAAGATATAAATAAAACATATCCTCTATCCCATATACATTTTCCTGAAAACCATATATCTGAAAGGCATCTCTTTCCATTTTCCTTTAGTTTTTTTTAGTATTTTATTTTATATTTAGGCTGCTTACCCATTTGGGGCTTGCTTATTTTGGTATATGGTATAAAATGTTCAGATCATAAGCTTATTGTAAAAGTTAGACTTAAACTGGAAAAAGTAATGAAAACCATCAGACTATGTAGGTCTGAGCTAGAGAATATCCCTTATGAATATGTGGTAGTTGGATTAGAAAAGGTCAGTTTACTGGGTCTAGTGTTTCTGGAAAATAGGACAATTCAAAAGGACAACTTCAGAGGACCCCGTAACAACAAGACAGTAGTTGCTAGAAAGCTAAGAGATTTGGTAGGGAAAACAAAAGGATACCAAAGCTGTCGAGGCCTTATGCAATCTAGTCAATTCTCTCATTTTACTGAGGAGGCAAGAGACCCCAAAAGAAGAAATGATGTACTCAAGGTCACACAGCCAGAACTAAAACCCAAGCCTCCTGATTCCCAGTCTACCTGCATTCATCAAGACTAGAATATACACACTGAAGATCATATACAGAAATTTGGACAAGTACAGAGAATCAAAGTAAGATCATTGCACAGCCTCATGTGCACATGCTTGAAAGAGGTCTGACAAGGCAAAAGCAAAACCAGACCTAATTAAAAGTGATAATCAGGGAAACCACATTTTGCTAAAAGGTACCACTAACAATGAAGTAATATCAAAAATTTTACAGTAAGTTTCTCTGACTAAGGCCTCATTTCTCAAATACATAGAGAATACAGAACTAAGGTCAAAATTTACAAAAACAGGAGCCATTCTCCACTTGATAAATGGCCAAAGGATATAAACAGGCAGTTTTCAGAAGAAGAAGTCAAAGCTATCTATAGTCATATGAAAAAATGCTATAAATAACTACCGATTAGAGAAATTCAAATTAAAATAATTCTGAGGTACTACCTCAACCAATCTGAAATAACAAATGCCGGAGTAGATGAGGGGAAAATATGTACACCAGGCCTGCACAACCTGCAGTCTGAGGGCTGACTGCAGCACACCAAAGGATCTCTACTATATGCAAAGGATGTCATCCTCTATGTTTCTACGAGCCACCAGAAATCCTTTGGTGGACCGCAAGTTGTGCAGGCCTGATGTACACTAATGAATTGTTGGTCGAGTAGCAAACTGGTTCAACTATTCTGGAAAACAATTTGGAACTATGCTCAAAGACCTATAAAACTATGCATACCCTTTGACTCAGCACTATCACTACTTGGTCTGTATCTCAAAGAAAAAGGAAAAGGACAAGGACCTAGATGTACAAAAATATATACAGTAGCTCTTTTTGTGGTGGCAAAGACTGGAAATTGACGGGATGCTCATCAGTTGGGGAATGACTGAACAAGTTATGGCAAATGATTACAATAGAATACTATCGTGCCCTAAGAAATGACAAAGTAGGGGGTGGTTTCAGAAAAACATGGCAAAACCTATATGTACTGATGCAAAGTGAAGTGAGAAGAACTAGGATACCATTGTGCACATAACAGCAATGTTGTAATGATGATTGACTGTGAAAGACCTGACTACTCTGATCAATACAATGATCGAGGACAATTCCAAATGATGAAAAATGTTATCCATCTCCAGACAGAAAAGTGATGAACTCTGAGGGCAAATTAAAATGTAATTTCCTCACTTTCTACATTTTTCTTGCTTTTTTGTAAAAACATGGCTAATATGGAAATATGTTTTGCATGATTTCACATGTATTATGGACATAATATTACTTGCCTTCTCAGTGGGTGGGGGAGGGGTAGTATGGTGGGAGAGAATTTGGAACTCAAAATTTTAAAAGAATGTTAAAAAATAAACAATAAATTTACCAAAAAAAGAAAAAAAAACAGTCTGAGATAACAAATGCCTTAGAAGCCAGTACAATCAACAAAACTATGAATCCATTAGAAAGTGTTTGTTTTTTCAGTTCCACAAGAACAGTTAGGACTTGAGGAAAGAAGGCAGCACCTTGGATAGATCCTAGAAGTTGGGAGTCAGTAAAAACTAAGTGTGAATCTCAGCTCCGATACATACAAACTACGAAACCACAGAGAAGTCATTTAACCTCATGTAGCCTCAGTTTCCCCATCTATAGAATGGAGCTAATAATAGCAACTATTTCACATGTTTGTTGCAATGATCAAATGAGGTAATATATGTAAAACATTTTTCGAGACCTTTAAGAGAAGTAAAAATGCTGGCTATAATAATTATGATTTAAGAATTATTATAATATACTAATGTGGTTTTGTTATATATTTACAACATAATTATAAATATAATACATTATATAGCATAATAACTACATTGTATTAATATATTATCATTAGGTATTCTATTATTCATTATTTGTTATATAATCATTTTCTTCATCATCATATCAACATTATTACTAACAAACAGATGACATAGTCTTTGAGAATATAGGGTCACTCACCTCCATGCCAGAATGAGGAAGAACGAATGGCCTTTATTTATCAAACTTTTAAAAAAAAAATCTACCAGAAATTGCAATTAACCTGACCCAATTAATTCCATACCCCAACCTCTTCCTACTTTGTTAAAAACTAAAACATAAATACAAATCCCACCCAGTTGGTACCCACCTATCTTATTCAATTTCTGGTTCTCAGACACTTTTACTTGCATTTGAGGAAGTAAAAAAAAATTCTTACCACAACATCTTCCAAGATCCTGGTAGGACAAGGCCTAGAATGAAACTCAAAGTGATCTTCTTCTGACTTCTTCTTTGCCTCTCGTTCCTGTATCCTTTTCTCAATTTCCAAGTCAAACCCAATAGCCTGAGTGGGTGGCTTTACAGGAGGTTTCTTTAGTAAGATAGGCCCACCTTCAAGGATTCTAGAGTCAAGTTCCCGGGCTTTGAATTTGTATCTGTGGAATAATTAATGGGATTTCAAGAAAGGAAAACAAACAAACAAAAAAGATGGTGTCAAAGTGGGGGCAGTGGATAGAGCGCTGGCCCTGGATTCAGGAGGACCTGAGTTCAAATCCAGCCTCAGACACATAACACTTACTAGCTGTGTGACACTGGACAAGTCACTTAACCCCATTGCCTAACCCCCCCCCCCAAAAAAAGATGGTGTCAAAGACAGAAACAATCATCATGGAGATTTCTCTTCATAAATAGCATATTTTAAACTTTATTAAAGTATCAATAAACACAGACATAGAGTAATACCATTCACCAATATTGCTAGAAAGGAAAAATTATTATATAATGTCCTAACACTTAATTACTCATAGAATGTGACTCTTCTTTACTCAAAGTAAATACATGCTTCTCTCTTCTCCACAAGCACTAAAATAAATAGTACCACTAGGAGGAGAACATTTTCTATATTCCATCTCAACAACATTTAACCTTAGATGACTGAGTGGCATTAGCATAACAAGACACTGGGTGTTAGAAACAGAGTTTAGTGGGAAGAATACTGGACTTAAGAGTGAGAAGACCTGTTCTGCCTCCTGGTAACTGAACAGCTACGGAAAAGGCACTTAACCTCACTAAGCCTCAGTTTTCTCATCTGTAAAACAATATTTGTCCTATCTGCTTCACAGAGTTGTGAGAATCAAATAAGGCCTCTATAAAGCACTTTGTAGCTGCCAAGCACCACACAAAAATAAGCTATTAATATAACAGCTCAAGAGTAAAATTTGCACAAATTAACCTGGAAGAATACCAAATGGTTTTCTTAAGTAACAGCTAGCTTCTTTTCCTTCATCTCTCCCAACTCAAATCTGACTCCCTAGCTGTTGCCTCAGTCATTGGGCTCCTCACCTTGAGGCTAGGTGAGAAAAGGTCACATGTAGTGTGACTCCCACAGACCACCAGGTAAGGAAGTGCATCGACTGCTAGAGCTAGATTTTCCACAGTTCTGTGGAGACTTACTGTTGGATTTTCTCAAGTTCCTCTGCTTCCAACTCGGCTGTGCTCTTGCACGTTACAGGCCTTGTGCGCTGCTTAGTTTTAAATACAGGAGTCTGTGGATTTGTTATCTTGAGCACTGATGGTTTGGAGGGTAACAGACCTACAAAGTGAAACCACAAAAGTATCATTGGATTCCCTGCCATCATCAGGTGGGCCTCCAGCTAGGTTATGTCCAGGTCACAACACAGACATCTTTCTATGGATAACTGTCGGAAGCAGACGGTGCCTTAGCATATTTTAGCAGTCTTCACTAGCATCCAATCTATCATTCCACTCAGGGGGAAAAGCTTCTGATTTATATAAAACATCAATGTTCTTTTTACTATAAAACAAACAAGAGTCACTTGTATTAAGATTATTTCTACCCCCAGTGGCTAATGCAGGTTTCCACATTTATCATCACTTTCTACTACTCTGCTTATGATCACCACAAATAATATCTTTATTCATTCAGATTCAAGAAAATGTCTTTCAATGCCCAGTGACTATTCTCAGTACTGTAAATTCCCAGGAAATAGATATTTGTATCAAAGAAAAAAAATTAACTTTCTAAAGTCAAATACGGGATTTTTTTTACTTCAGTGGTCCCTCCATTTACACAATTATTTAAAACTACCACTCTGCCTATTTATTACCTTTTACATGACCCTACAGGCCCTTGGATTAGAGAATATAAAACCATTTACAGAAATAACGAGCAGGTCGAAGGATCAGCCCAAGTTAGTAAAGGCTTGTCACTCATCACTTGGCCACTAAGTGATGAATTTTGTGGCTACAGCAACCCATGAATCAATTAAAAATACCAAACATCCCTGGGTCCCGTGCAACCCCCTTCTGTCTCTGCAGTGACAGTAGCAAAGTACTAGGAAAGGAGGTAGAAGGTGCAAAGAATTCAGTTTAACTCTTGGTACTGTGAATGTGAGACATTTTCACTATAAAATAAAACCCAAAGTCAGTTACCTTGCAGTAAGTATTCTATCAATTCATTCTATCAATTCTATCAATTCATTCAGTAAACATTTATTAAGTTTCTATTATGTGCTATGTACAGTACTAGGTACTGAGAATATAAAAACAAAAACACACTAGCCCCTGCCCTTAAGAAGCCTAACATTCCATTAGCTCACATTAGGGAACAAGTAATTGGGTGGGATAATACAAATGAAACAAATTAACACATATACTGATACACAACTCAAAGAAGATAAGTGCTTTTAAAATCAGTAGCCCTGAGGATCTTCAGGTATCACATGATTGTGCAGGGCTGGAAGGAATCTTCCACGTCATCTAGGTCAACCTCCTTAGGAAACTGAGAATCAGAGAGATGAATCAATTTGTGCAAGGTCACAGACTACCTGGCAGGATTCGAACCCGTCCTGTAAGTACAATGATCTTTCAACTACACCACATTTGTCTCTTTTATAAAGGTCTCGACATATTTAGCAACAGACAACATTCTTTTAATCATAATTTATTTTAGAAATCAAAACTAAATGCCATTCAAATTTCCAAGTTGAACTAACCTGCCAAACCCATGAACAAAATAATATATGGGGGAAAAAGAATAGCTATCAATCCTAGTTTCATTAAGAGAACTTTCTTTTATTTTCAGAGCTCATTTTGTGGTAGCAAAAAAAACTATAAACTAAGGGAAGAAAGGGGTAAATTTTACCCAGCAACTAGAGAAGAGCTAAACAAATTATGGTATACTATATTGTAAAAGGAAGGAGGAAAGGTACAGCTTCTGAGAAACCTGACAGGACTTCTATGAATGATGCAGAGACAAAGTGACCAGAACCAAAAGATCAATTTATACAATAACAACATTGTAAAAGAGAAACAACTTTGAAAGATTTAAGGATTCTAACAAATACAACTATCATCCATGATTCCTGAAGACCAGTGATAACAACTACTACCTATATTCTGACAAAGACGGGGTGGACTCAGAGTGCATTATGAGACATGAAGTTCTTGAATATGGCCAATGAGGGAATTTGTTTTTGCTCAACTATGCATACTTGTTACAAAAGTTTTGCTTTTCTTTCTTTTTATTCAAAGGGAAAGGACAAGATTGGAAAAGAAAACTGATTCATTTGTTAGAAATTTTTTTAAAATTTCATTTCTCTTGTGAAAAGTTCCACTGAAAGATTTTCAAATGAGTCTCTTCCATTTTCCAAACAAAATACCTTATGACTGACTGACAATGGGGCACATTATAGATTGCTAATTTCCAACCTGCAGCCCTGTGCAAATCAATAAACAAACATGACTCCTTAAAACTGAATAAATGGGGATGATAATAATAGCACCTATCACTCTGGGTTGTCTTGAGGATCAAAGGAGGGAATATTTATAAAGCACTTTGCAAACCTTAAAGTGCTATATAAATGCTGGATTGTTATTATTATCTCTTATAACAGTGAAGAATAGTGAAAAGAAAAACATTTCCTTGAAGTGAGACTCTAAACTATTTCGAACTTACTAGTTGCATAACCTTGAGCAGGTTACTAGCCCTTCTGGCTTCTCAGTTTCCTCAGCAACAACATGAATGGGTTGGGCAAGATGACCTTTAAGGTCCCTTCTTGTTCTAAAACTGTGATCCTAGGATCATATATAAATGAAACCAGGGAGAAAAAAAATACAGAAAGAAATATGTAACCAATTGTCATCTATTCTATAACAAATTATGCTCATCACTATTGACAGTAGAACTACCACATGGACTCCAACGATTCAAGACTAAACTATATGAGAAAGTGAAAATGGAAGTAAAGATGATAAACACAGGAAGAATAGTTAAATCAGATCAAGTATACACAGAAAAAAAAAATCCACGCTGAAAGGTAAACAGTTTTGAGGGACTGATTTTCAAGACACCTAGAAGATCCTGAATAAATGGAGGAAATCATGGATGATCTGATTTACCCAAAAAAGGCCAACTAATCAATAACTACTGAGCCACAGGCCTATTTTCTAATCTCTATAAAATTTTTATGAGAATAGTCAATATACGTACTGAGGGTATTTTAAAGAAAATATCAGAAGGGAACAATAAGGCACTGATGAGTGATTTTCTATGGCAGAGTACAGCTCCAGTCACACAAACAACTGAAAGGTATATATAGAACATAAGATACATTGTGTTTTACTAAGAGGACTTGACTCTATAGAGAAAAATGCAGCATTAAAGAGTCTCCTCCAATGGATAAGCCACTTTTATATGTTAATATGTAACAATAATCTTCTATTATCAATATCAAAGATGTTAAAAAAAAGAGAGAAATATCCTCAACAAAGATGTTTACCCTTTTTATGTTAGATCTCCAGCACAGAATAAAAATCAAAGAGCAATTTAAACACATGTCCAAAACTGAACTCATCTTCCGCTAAAAAACCTTCCCCTCTTCCTGCTGAGGGGACTACTGCCTTCCAGTCACCTGGGGTCACCTACGTAACAAGTAGGTGTCATCCTTGACTCCTTGTTATTTCTCATTCCTCAGATCCAATCTTTTGCCAAGACCCCTAAATTTCACCTTCATAACATCTCTCGCATACGTCCCCTTCTCTCCTGACACTGCCACCAGTCTGGTACAAGCCCTCATCACCTCACTCCTGGACTACCACAGCAGCCTGCTGTTGGGTCTGCCTGCGTCAACTCTCTCCCCACTCCAATCCATCTTTCATTCAACTGCCAAAGTAATTTTCCTGAAGTGTAGGTCTGATTGTCACATACACATACACACAGACAGGCGCTCTCTCTCTCTCTCAATAAACTCCAGTTACTCCCTATCACCTCTAGGATCAAACAGAAAACTTTGTGGTGTTCACATCTGAGTCCTTCACGTCCAAGCTCCCTGACTAGTCTTCCAGTCTTCTAATCCCTTACATCCCTGCACATACTCTGCTCTTCTTCTCCATCTCCCCTTCCCAACTTTCCCAGCTTCTTCAAGTTCTGGATAAAACCCCACCTTTTAAAGGAAGCTTTTCCCAATGCCCCATAATTCTAGTGCCTTCTCTCTGTTGATCATTTCCAATTTAGCCTGCATGTATCTTGCTTTTACATAACTGTTTGCATGTTTTCTCCTTCACTGAACTGTGAGCTCCTTGAGAACACGGACTGGGTTTTGCCTTTCTTTGTATCCTCAACCCTTAGTACGTTATCTGGCACAGACTAGATGCATAATAAATATTTACTGACTAGCATGACATGGTGCTCCACATACCCATTTGTAGACAGGCCCAGGACATCACACAAAGTTGTCAGTTTGATCCCAAACCACTCAAGTGTGAAGTCTAAGAATCTACACAGGAAAATTCAAATGGATGAAGAAGTCCCTGTTGTCTAGACTAGGATATGAAGTTGGACAGAGCCCACTGAATCAGTTCATCTGAACATGAATCTTGGACAGGCACTGTAGATGAATGATGAGCTAGGGCCAGAAACGAATAGAAAGAGGGTCAGCTGAATTATACTTGGGAATTTACACTGCACTTTCAACAATCTCTAGTTGCTCCCTGACACAAAACCACCTCTTTTTATCACTGATTTCTCTTCCAGCAATGTAGCATACAAACAGTTTGGATGACAGACAGATAGGGGTGAACATACAGGTGGGTGGGCAGAGTGCAGAGGTCTCAAGCCAACCTTCCCCGCCCCTAGCCATTCTTTTACTTTCACATAGGAGGAAGGGGAAGGCTGTGGAGTGTTAAGACGAGGGTCAGAAACAGCAAGAGAGCATAGTAAAGCTTTCACAGGTTTGGTTTTTTTTGGACTATGGATTTCTTTCAGAATTCTTTATGTAAAGCTGAATTTGTGTAATGTGAATTTACATAAAGTGAGAACTGTCTGTAGCTGCAAACCATGGAACATTATTCTTTGAAGAATTAAAATTAAGAGGAATACTACTGTGCTATAAGAAATGATGAGCAGACTGCAAAAAAACCTGAGAAGACTTGTATGGACTGATGCTGAGTGAAGTGAGCAGAACCAGGAGAACGTTGTACACGGTAACAGCCACGTTGTGCGATGACTAATATTGATAGACTTAACCCTTCTCAGCAATGCAAGAATCTAAGACAACTCCAAAAGGCTCAAGATGGAAAATGCTATCCACATCCGAAGAAAGAACTATGGAATTTGAATGCAGATCAAAGCATACTACTTGCTCTTTTTTCTCCCCTTCTGTTTTGTTTTGTTTCTTCTTTCTTATGATTCCTCCTATTGGTTCTAATTCTTCTTTACAACATGACTAATGTGAAAATGTGTTTAATAGGAATGTATATGTAGAGCCTATATCAGATTGCACACGCTGTCATGGGGAGGGAGGAGGAGAAAAATTTATAACTCAAAAGCCTGTGGAAGTGAATGTTGAAAACTAAAAATAAATTAAGAAGGAAAAATAAAAGAATTAAAATTAAGAGTGACTTCAGAGAACAATGACAAGGCATACCAGTGGATTGTTAGCAATGATGGTTTATGTGTAAGAAGTAGCATAAAAGAGATGGTATAGGAAATGGAGAAGCAATATGTTTGGGTGGATTAATAATATTATTCTTACACTCCAGATGAGCTGGACTTAAATCTCATCTCTGATACTTGTAGCAGTGTAACCACAGGCAGCCAATGAACTCACTAAGCCTCAGTTTCTGTAAGATGGAGATACTACTACCTGTAGCATCTATCTCATGGGGCTGTTGTGAGGCTCCAATGAGTTATGTATAAAATGTCTGTGAACTTTAAAGCACTACATGAATGTCAGTTAATTTTATTAAACATATGACTAGAAAAGGAGGTAAACTTTTAAAATAATGACAGAAAGGTAACAGTCTAAGGGCTACAATGGCATTCATGGAGTACTTTGAAGACCTCTGACACCCGTGCTAGATGATCCTCTGGGAGTTATGGGAGGACCCAACAAGAAGCTCACAGGCCAACAAAGTGCAGGTGGGCTGCAAAGTATCCCTTTCCAAAGAATACCCACATTGTTGAAGTCTTTCAGAGATGCACTGAAGTTTACAATAAAACAGTATATGAACCTCCTTGTCTGTGTTACTCAACAGTGTTACAAAGTCTATATGAGATCAATACAAAAGTACAGTGAGATTCTAGGACGTGAGATCCTGTGTTAATTTATTTGGACAAAATGTTACCTTTCCAAGTCACACATTAAGAAACTGAATTGATTTTTGCCTGGGTTTCTTCATTCTCCTTGGTCAATGCTACAAAGAGGCGGAGATAGGAGAATGACCAGGGTAAAAAGATATATAGAGTCTCGGTACATGAATGAGAGCTGGTTTTGAAGTCACAAGACCTGTAACTGAACTTATAGGAATCAGACACATTCCACTTCATCTAAATTGGGGATAAATACTTGTACTACCCACTCATAAGATGACTGTGATAAACATGATCTTTCAACCTTAAAGCATTATAGAAATTTGACTTAGTACTATGAACAAATGGATGAACTTGTCAGGGAATAAGAGGTGGAAACCATTCCCTACCACCACCCCTCCCCAAACCACAAGTTTATAGATGTGTCACAGACTCAAGAAGTCAGAGAGACATTATGCCATATGTCTGCTACCTATACAAAGTGATGTGCTTTTTTTTTTTAATTTCTGTATTATTGGTTCCTTATGAAGCCAGATGGATGCTTCAGATACAAACAACAAAGGAAAACTCTCAACTAAAAGTTTTTCACCCAATTTTAGAGACAAGGGAACACTTACCCTCATCATCTTTCTTGCTCCTCAGGTGGTACCTAGTGGGTGTTCGTTTATGGAAAGCTTCAACTTGCTGTGCCAGAGGGACATAAGTAGAGGCTGTTTCTTCAAAAGGTCTTTTCTTTCCTTGGGACAAATTGAAAGGCTTGGCAATGGTAGGTCCCTTGCCTACTCGGGCCTGCAGACAGAGATAATGTGCGCAAAATGACAAATCTCTTTTGAGAACTTTTCCACAAAAAAAAAAAAAAACAAAAACAGCAATGGCCTTTCAGCGTTTTGAAAACACTTCTTTTTAAAAGCGGTTTCTATGATTGCTGCAGCCTTAACCCCTGACCTGGTGGTACAAGTCCTAGGCTCAAAAATAAGATTAGCCCAAATCCTAAAGCCCTATCCTCATAACAATACTGTGAGGTAGTCAGAGCAAACAAAATTATCTCCATTTTATGGCAGAGGAACAAGCCCAAATAAGTTTAAGCGATTTTCATGAGGTAATATGGCTAGTGTCAAAGTTAGTTGTTCTGACCCCAATTCTAGAGCTCTTTGGGTAAGATATATTCAGAGAAAAGCAAATGAGGCCGATCACTTTACATACTCTATCAGTATCTACTAAGAAAGAGAAATCCTAACCACATTTATTACAGCATCTGCATGACTCTTTCTTTTCCTTTCCCATGAACAGTATCTGTCACTGTGCCATGACTGTTTTGTGGGAAAAAAGAATGGACTCCTCAGGCCAACTGGACTCAAGTTCCAGCTCTGACATCTACTAATGTATGACCTTGGACTCATTTTCCTCACATATAAATTAAGTATAAAGTCCATTTGTTCTATTTACATCATGAGACTGTTGTAGAGGATCTCATAAGACAAATGATGTAAATTACTATGTAAGACACTTGATTAAGATTCACCTGCTCCATGGAATATACTTCTAATTAACCATATCTGGTCTGGATGTGCTCAATGACTCCAGGTCTCCTTGGTCTTCATTCTATCCTGGACTTAAATTAGTTTACATTGATATAATATGTTCTTGGATTATCATATTATTACTAATATCCCACATTTCTATAGCACTCTACAGTTTATAAAGCACTTTCCTCACTGCAAATTTGTTCACGAGGAAAGTAATAAAAAGATAACTTCCATTTCATAGATGATGAAACTGAGGTTTAGAGAAGAAAAGTGACTTAAGATCACTTTTAAGATAGGTCATCAGAGTCCTGCCTCATGTCGGTCTCTGCCCCATTCTCACTGAAATCACTACTCTCCCACCATCTAACCAGTGCTTGGTACCGGGAATGCTCAAAAGACATCCAGTAGTAATCCTGATTGATCAGAGGGTGTGTAGTGCTTGGGACAATTTCAAATTATTTTCCAGAAGGACTGGCAATGGTGTTAACCTACATATCTCTACTTTTACTCCTAGAAATCTCCTCTGAGATTTAATTAATAATTACCTAGAATAATAATCCAACGTCCCTTTGAATACATTGGTAACTGGGGCTCACTTTGCCTATCACCTTACCGGGGATGGAGGATGCTTCCGAAGTTCAGATGTAAAATTCACCTCTTTGTATTCTTCCTGGTTCTTCGGGTGCTGTTTGATCCTATCATCTGTGTGGAAGTGGAAGTCAACTGACTTGGTTACTTGGCTGACTGTTTTCTTCAGAGGCTGCCCTGGATGGAGTAGACAAAAAAAGTAAACCCAAAACTTTGGGAATGTAACCACCATGAGCAGAGAATACTGGTCAACCAACACTCTTAACTTGTTGACCCAGAGACATATAATACTGCCAGCTTCCTAACCTGTCACTGGCACTTTGAGCTGGTTAGACTCAGCCTTCTAGACGGTGTCTTTGTGGATACTGCCAAAGGACAGAACAAGTCAGGCTTTAGTCCTCCCAGTTCTGCCTTATTCTTGAAAAGGCATCATGTTTCCACTACCAGGTAACACTATTGGTAATTGTTCCAAGAACTAGTTTTACTCCTCCTTCTCTCATCTAGATCAAACTTTCTAAGAATCCTCAAGAAGATCAACGTTTAGAGGGCAAATTGTGGTGCTACAGTTAGCAGTACAACACATTTAGTCTCAGTGCTTTAATAATCATACCCTACTTATACAGACTCAGGGGTGTGGATCCTGAGATGGATTCCTTCCCATATATCATAGGAAGCCTTTCCTATAAAAATCTCCATTCACACTAGAGGAATGCCGAACAGAAGCAATCACAAATGAGACTGAAGCAGAGCTGACCCATACCTGCTAGAGCTATTTTCAAGGACTCTTCATTCTTCTTACGCATCTCTACCACCTCCTGTTGCATCTTGAGTCTCTTCTCCAACTCTTGTTCTTCTGTACTTTTCAGAACCTTCTTCCTGAAAGGCAAATCAAGCTAGTCAGAAATAAAGATGGGACTGAGAGAGGACAAAGGATGCTAACACTCAAATGATCCTGAAAGGTCATTTCCAAAGCCCTGAAACATGAATCCAGATACATTTTCATTAAGGTCACCATAACAGGTCAAGGCTCATTTGGAAACCATCAAGTCACCACCCACTCAGACTTCTAAAGGAATCCACGAGCCTGATAGACAGCTCGATTACCAGCAAGGAAAGATACTCACCTTATGGGTGGTGTGCAAGACACAGCTATTCTGCCTGCGGGTCGTCCCAGAGAAGGCTCACTCTTCTGGGCAAAATTTTTGGAAGCACTACCTTCCATGGGCTTACTTTTGCCCTCAGTGCTAGAGTTCAAAAGGACAAAAGCAGACAATGTATTCGATCTGCCCAGAGACATGCATAAAATCAGTCAAAGCATAATCAAAATAAACAAGCATTTATTAAGTACCTCCTAGTGTAAGTCACAGTGCTAGGTACTAGGGATACAAAGACTAATGTGAAAGAGTCCCTGCTCTTGAGGAGTCTACATTCTAATAGGCAAGAGAATCTACATAAGCCACACAGAAAACAGATCACAGGCAACCTTAGGGGGAGGCAGGGGAGAACACAAGCACTTAGGGAGAGGAAGAAAGTCCTCATGTAGAAGAGGAAGCCTGAACTGAGTCCTGAAGAAACCTAGAGATTCCAAGAGGCACTGGTAAGGAGGAAGAGGACCCTAGGGAAGTCTGAGCCAGACGCTAGCATGGGGGCTGTGTGACTAGAGAGAAGAGGAGAGAAGGCAGACACTCTATGGAAGTAAACAGTCAATGAGATCTAGTAAATGACCGTACGTGTTGGGTATAGGAGACTGAAGAGTTAAGGATGACACCAAAGTTGTGAATCTGGGAGACTGGAGGGATGATGGTGCTTTCCATAGAAAGGAAGGTTCGGGAGAAGGAGAGGTGTGAGGAAGAAAGATGAACTCTGTTTAGGACATATCAAATTTGGAAAGCTTATGGGACCACCGAGTAGCTAGAAATGCCTGATAGACAGCTGATAATGTGAAATCAGAACTCAGCAGAGAGACTAGTCCTGGATATATAGATCTAGGAGTCATATGCACAGATTTGGTAAGTGAACTCCGGAAAGCTGATGAGATCACCAAGTGAGATGATAAAGAACAACCAGAGAAGAGGGCCCAGGACACAGCCTTGGGGTACACATACTATTAGTGGGCATCACATGGATAATGATCCAACAAAGAAGAATGAGGAGCAGTCGGACAGGTAGGAGGGGAAGCAAGAGATAGTAATGTCTGACAAAAAAATCCAGAGACAAAAGAATATCCAGGAGAAGAGGGCAGTCAACAGTGCATGCATAGTTAGGCATGCCTTGAATTTCCCAATTTTTAGGAAATAGGTATGTTTTCACCAATTAATTCATTTAACTCTCAGTTTAGCTACCATTTCATCAGCGTCCCCAGAACACTCAGTGACTATAGCAAGTCTACTTGAGACAAGTGGACCTTACATTGGCAGTAATACTTACTAAATGCAAAAGCAAATTCCAATTGCCCTCCCAAAAAATGCAGTCAAAGGAAAGGTTACTTCTCGCCTGAGTATAAGATTAAGGGACAAGCAATGTCACCTAAAGTAGGAAAAACCCAACCCACTGGCTACTCACACTTTCATTTTCTTGGAGGGAGGCATTTCATCACTGACCACGGAAACAGGGTGTCTTTCTGCTTTCATTCTGAGCTGATGTTTCTGCCGCTGTTCCAACTTCTTCTGGGCAGACAAGTTCCTAGTCACCCTGGAGAAGAAATCAGCAAGAGCTGATACAATGTACTAATGTTATTGTTCAGTAGTTTTTCAGTCATGTCCAACTATTTGTGACTCCATTTGGGATTTTCTTGGCAAAGATACCGGAGCAGTTTGCCATTTCCTTCTCCAGCTCATTTTACAGATGAGGAAACTGAGGCAAACAGGGTTAAGTGACTTGCCCAGAGTCACACAGCTAGGAAGTGTCTGAAGCCAGATTTGAAGATGAGGAAGATGAGGAAGATGAGTCCTCCTGACCCCAGGCCCAGCACTTTCTCCACCATGCCACCTAGCTGCCCCAAGTGTACCAGGAGTAGGGATTTATTTCTTACCTAGTGAAGACATATGTGGTTTTTATCCTAATAATTTAATCTCTTCTTGTTTAGTCTTAACAGTGGCTTCTAGAACACAATCATAACATTTTAGAGCTTGCAAAAACCTCAGAAATTATCTAATCTAATGATCTCTTTTTGACAATGAGGGAACAGAAGTCCCAAGATGCATCAGCCCATGGTCACAGTTACACAAGGTATGTGTTAACTATAGGTTATTAATGTCAAAGATATTCTTGTGAACACTGCATGAAGGGTATAAAGGGTTTGCCTTTCATATGAAACGTTTCACAATAGAAATTTAGGTTCTTAAAAGTTGTATGTACTCTATGAGATGCAGCCAAAGCAGTACTTTGGGGAAAACTTTTATCTCTAAATGCTTACATCAGTAAAATAGAGAAAGAACAGATCAACGAATCAGACATAAAACTAAAAAACTAGAAAAAGAACAAATTAAAAATCCTCAAACACCAAACCAGAAATCCTGAAAAACAAAGGAGCAATTAGCAAAATCAAAAGAAAACTATTGAACTAATAAAACTAGGAGCTGCTTTTATGGGGAGAAAAAAACTAATAGAATTAACCACTGGTTAATTTGATTTTTAAAAAAGGAAGAAGAAAACCAAATTATCAGTATCAAAAATGAAAAGGGTGAATTCATCACCAATGAAAAAGAAATTAAAGTAATTATTAGGAGCTATTCTGCCCAATTATATGCCAATAAATTTGACAATTTATAAAAATACAAATGGCCCAAATTAAGAAAAAAGAAAATAGAATACTTAAATAATCCCATCTTAGAAAAAGAAATTTAACAAACCATCAGTGAACTCCCTAAGAAAAAGTCCTCAGGGCCAGATGGATTCATAAGTGAATTCTACCAAAAACAAAATAGCAAGGGTATTAATGAGAAAAAAAAAAAAGTAAAGGAAGGTGGCCTAGCTGCACCAGATCTCAAAGTGTATCATAAAGTGGTAATCATTAATTTGGTATTGGCTAAGAAATACAGTGATGGATCAGTGGAATAGATTAGGTACATAATAATCTAGTGTTTGATAAACCCAGAGATTCAAGAGTTTGGGATAAAAATTCACTGTCTGGCAAAAACTGTTAAGAAAACTAGAAAAGAGTATGGCAGAAACTAGGTATAGACCAATACCTTATACCATATAACAGGAGGTCAAAATGGGTACATGATTTAAACTTAAAGAGTGATACCATAATCAAATTTGGGGAGCATGGAATAGTTTGCCTGTCAGATCTATGGAGAAAGGAAAAACTTATGATCAAAGGAGAGAGAGAAAGCATTATAAAATGTAAAAGAGATAATTTTGATTACATTAAATTTAAAAAAGCAAAGCAAGCAAAACCAACACAGCCAAGATTAGAAAGAAAGCAGAAAGCTGAGGGGAAAATACAGAAAATGTCTCTGATAAAGGCCTCATTTCTCAAATATATAGAGAACTGAGTCAAATTTATCAGAATATAAGTCATTCCCCAATTGATAAATGGTCAAAGGATAAGAACAGGTAGTTCTCAGATGAAGAAATCAAAGGTATCCATAGTCACATGAAAAAATGCTCTAAATCACTACTGATTAGAGAAATGCAAATTAAAACAACTGTGAGGTACCACCTCACACCTAACAAATTGGTTAATATGATAGAAAAGGAAAATGACAAATGTTGGAGGGGATATGGGAAAAAATGGGATACTAATGCACTGTTGATGGAGTTGTGGACCGATCCAACGATTCTGGAGAGCAATTTGGGAACTATGCCCAAAGGGCTATAAAACTGTACATACCCCTTGATCTAGAAATACTACTACTAGGTCTGTATCCCAAAGAGATCAAAGGACAAAAAAAATGTGAAAAGGTCCTATTTGTACAAATATGTTTATAGAAGCTCTTTTTATGGTGGCAAAAAATTGGAAATTGAGGGGATGCCCATCTATTGGGGAATGGCTGAACAAGTTGTAGTATATGATTGTGATAAAATAAGATTGTGCTATAAGAAATTACAAGCAAGGTGATTTCAGAAAAACCTGGACTTATATGAACGGATGCAAAGTAAAGGGAGCAGAATCAGGAGAACACTGTACACAGTGACAGCAATACTGTACAATGATCAACTGTGAGTGACTCAGCTCTTCTCAGCAATACAATGATCCAAGAAAATTCCAAAGGACTCATGATGAAAAATGTTATCCACCTTCAAAGAAAGAACTAATGGAGTCTGAATGCAGATCAAAGGATATTATTTTTCATTTTCTTTATTTTTGTGTGTGCTCTTCGTCCTCGGTCAGTGTTTTCTTTCACAACACGACTAACATGGAAATGTTTTTCATGATTAAACACGGATAACCTATATCAAATGGCTTGCTGTCTCAAGGAGGAGGAGGAGTGAAGGAGAAAGGGAAGTTGAGACTCAAAACTAGAAATGTAATTGAGGAAAAAATAAAATATTCAAAAATCTTAAAAAATATATTCAAAAAGAAAATAAGTTATATCCACATCAGCAAGATCACAATTCTCGGGGAATACCAAAGTGCTTTATTAAGTCTCTTCTTGATTTCAATATTTGCTACACAACTTGTACATCCACGATAAAATGTTTCTTAATGTTATACAGCAGATTAGTGGAAGAGAATAGTACCATGACACCACAGCCACAAAGGGCCTGAGGGCTATAAGGGACAAGTAAGCCCACTGAAACCTGGGTGAATGAGCACAAGGAAATCCAAGATACATTTTCAGGACTAGCCAATGTGTCAATCTGTTTTGTTTGACTATATCTCTCACAAAGGACAGTTCCACTGGGAGGTGGGAAAGGGTTTAAGAAGGAAATGACAATGATATTTACAAAATCATCAATAAAATACATTTCAAAAGAGGCCAGGTAATACAATAAAGTAAAATAATCAGCAGGAAAACATTTCTTAGGATAAGGGAGCAAAAAATCACACAGGGTAAAACTAAGAGGCTCTACTCAGCCAACACAAGGAAGGCCCTTTGCAGGGCTGGGAAAGCTGTGTGTACCCAAAGCATTCTGTGACATCTTAACTCAACAAGTCCAAAACCAAATTCATTATCTTTCCCCCTAAAATTTCCACCCTCCTAACTTCCCCCTTTCTGTGGAGGGCAATATCATCTCCCAGACCCTCAGGTTCAAAACCTAGAAGTCATTCTGACTCCTTACTATCTCTCACTGCGCCAACCCCCACAGCCCATCTGTTGCCAAGGTCTGTTGATTTCACTTTTGCAACATCTCTTGAATACACCTCCCACCCATTCATCTGACCCGTCCGTATCTCCTCTGCATTCCAACTCTGGCTCCAGGTATTTCCCCTGGCTGTCCCCAGCCACCTGGAATGTTCTCCCTGGGATTCTCTGGCTTCCTTCAGGTCCCAGCTAAAATCCCATGCTCCACAGGAAGCCTTTTCCAATCCCTCTGAATTCTAGTGGCTCTGTTATTTCCTATTTATCCTGGATGTAGCTGGTTTGTATATTTGTTTGCTTGTTGTGTCCTGTTAGGGACAGGGATGTCTTTTGCCACTTTTTGTATCCCCAGCACTTAGTACAATGCCTGGTACATAGTAGGCACTTAATAAATGCTTATTAGCTAACTAATCAAAAGTTAAAACCTATTACACATTCACAGTAAAGCATGAGTTAGGTACAAACTAACCTCTCTTATGGCGATATTAAAAGAAAAAAAAACTCTCATTCTTTACTGTGGCTAACAGGGTTTTAGTTATTCTTAGCCTATTACTTGAACACATGTGAAAATAAAGTAGAAACTTGTTTGTATGTGCCATCCTTCCTGCCTCCCTGCTCTCTCCCTGAAGGATATCCAGGATATGACTAGAAAAGGGGAATATCTTGATGGTAACCACATGACAGATCTCTGTCAAAGACAAAATGAAACATTTAAGAGGGAACTAAAGATGCCAACAGAACTGCTCCTAGCCTCTTTCTGTCAGGTTTGAGTCTTGGCCTACCCAAGACAACAAACCATGAAAACCAGTAGCTGTGGTAGAAAGGGAAATGGCTTGAGAGTCGGAGGACCTGAGTTTAAATCCAGCCTCTGATGTTTTCTACTTCTATAGACATGAGCAAACCACTTAGCCCTTGCAAGCCTCAGTTTTTTGATATGTAAAATGAGGTGGTTGGACCACAGAGTTTCTGAGGAGCCTTCCAGTTCTAGGTGCACGACCTCATAATTCTAAAAAGCCCCACGAACATCCAACAAAGAACAGTGAGACCGCTGCCATGTACTCCAGTCTGTTTGGCGTCTTCTGATTCAATCTGAAAGAAAGTAAGACTGAGACTCTTCCCAAAATGTGATTTTTCTGAGCTAGTAAATGCTGCACTTAAGCAATAGCAGTCACAGTGTCACGTGCCCTGCGGACATCGGTTCCCAGCACCATTAATCCGTCATTTCTTCCACCTAGCTATGCTATAAAAAAATAAAACGCTCTGCTTTCCTGCTTCCTTGAGTTTAGTTTAAAATACATGGGGGGCATGTTAGGATGGCACCAACTCACACAACTCAATAAACAGGCCCTTGGACCTGTAAATTGCAGGGGGATTTTATTACCAGACAGGAAACGAGACAACAAAAATTCAATTTGAATGTAGACACTCTATTACAATACTCTGTTAGAACATAAAGAATCTTCAAGTGCAGCTTAATTCTTATGGCAAAAAGTTATTGAGTGTGTCATTCAGTTAAACAAGCATTTAATTAATTGTCTCTCAGACGTTTTAAGTCCTGTGCTAGGTGCTAAGGATATACCCAAGTTCTTGGCTTCAAATTCTTGCCTTCAGGTACCAAATGGTAATGGGAAGAGGAACACCACCTACAAATAAATAGGACACAAAGTAGAGTTGGGGCATATTTGAGGATGGAAAAAGCATTTCCAAGGGTTAGGAGAAGAGAATCAAAGAAATCTTCATGGAGAAGCCAACTAAATCAAGTTTTGAAGGACAAGAAGAACTATAGAGAAAGATCGGGGCAGGGAGTGATGGGGAGAATCCATTCCAAGCATGGAGAGAAGGGACGAGCAAAGGAGGACAGGCAGGAGACAGCCCCAGGAGAAGAGGACAGAGGCACTATCTGTCCTAGGAAGTGCAATCCCCAGGTGTCCAGGGCTCAGTAGAGATGTGCTGCCTCTGTCAGCTTAAGCCCAGCCTTTACATCTGAACCCATCCTTGGCTCCCAAGCACTAGTGTTACCTTTGGGACTGGCCTGGAACAAGGGATCCCAAAACAGGGGCATTTTTGGATGTAGTTTCCTGGAAGCCTAGTGAGTCGCAAGCAGTTGATGGAGCACATTCTTCTGACGGATTCTCTGTTTCCACATAAGTGTTGGCAACTACAGTGAGAAATGGAAGAACAAAGAGTCATGCATATGTATCTACGTATGTATTAGACACAGAGTCAGCAGAGGAAACCAAAGACGTAAGACAAAAGAAGAGTAAAAAAGTGCTGTAGATCAGGGACTCTTCTTTTTTTGTGTATGGGCCCCTGGACTCCTTTGGTGGTCTGGTGAGGTCTATGGATCTCCTTCATAGAAAAAGTCTTTTAAATGCAAAATTTTAAATATATAAGATTGCATATAATAGACCCTTAGAGAGAGCAAAGGACTACTCACTGGTAAAAATGCTCATGTTAGCATTCGATACTTGCGATAAAAACAATAACTATTTATATAGCATTTGTGTTTTACAAAATGCTTTATGTATTAGCTCATTGATCCCTCAAAATAAGCCTTTCTGGTAGGTAATGTAAGTATTATTAACCTCATTTCATATATGAAGAAAGTGCAGCACAGAAAAGTTCAATAACTTGACATGGTCACATGCCTTTCTGACTCCAAATCCAAAAGACTTTCCAGTACACCAGTTTCCTTTCTTTATAAATTACAGTAAAGCACCAAGGGGAGTTTGGGGATTTGTTTGTTTTTAAATAATGATTTGTTTCATAATTAAGTTTTTAAAAACCTGAACTAGCTTCTCTGTAGTCAGGAAATGGGGACTTCCACCAAAAGGTCATGTCTAAATACTGCCAAAGCTTATTATCCTGCCTTCTTAAATTATGCATAGTTAACATAATATTAACTTCTCTTGGTGCCTCAAGGGTCGTCATTACAAACACTGTACTATAATACAACATTGCCCCAGGGGACCTTTGAGGTATGCAGGCCTCTTTGTCTCTACACTGAATTATCCCATTTTGCTATGTTTCTGAAGCTGTGTAAGCTTTTCACCATTTTCCCCTTCTTCCTTCCTAACCATTAAATTGTCAGTCCTCATTTCTTTCAGCTAATTTCCTACAACATGCCCCTCCCACCTCTAATTTACTATAGGATGAGAAAGCAGACAATGAGTCTTGCTAGAATTGTTAAAAAATAAGAAGTGAAAGGCTGGGAGTAAGGGTCTGGATTTGGGGGTAGAGTTTCTACAAATTATTGCTACTCATTTTGGACTTTTTTTATCGTTCTGTTCTGTGCAAGTCCCTGGATGTTTTTTAAAGGGAGAGAGGGAGAGGGAGAGAGGGAGAGGGAGGGGGAGAGAGAGAGAGAGAGAGAGAGAGAGAGAGAGAGAAAGAAACTAGGCAAACATTGTATCTCTTTCTAATCAAAGGAAACACAAAGACCAAATAAACACACAGTCCTTAAGTCATTCAACAAAAATCTGCTCAGGGCCAACTACAGGCAAAATACTGCACTAGGAGTTATGAGAAATTTTTTTAAAACAATAGAAAATAGCCCATCCTGGAGCATACAGTCTCATAGAGTAGATAAGACATATACAAATAGTCATAAGAATGTAGAATATTCACTTCTTATAAATGTTAAAATGATGTAAATTAAACTCTTCTCTGTATATATGCCTTACCTTCTACTAGAGTAAATTATAAACCCCTTGAAGGTAAGGATCAAGTCTTATTTAATCTTTGTTGCTCTTCCAGTTCCAAGTAGAACGCGCTACCCAGAAGTCTATACTTAAGTTAACACTTGTTGGATGGATGATACTGCCTATCTCCATGAACTGACGTAATTAATAGACTGCAAGTCAGGCTAACAGCTCAGGCCATATAGGGAAGACAGGCTCGTTAGAAGGACAGTCATTTGTGTGATACCACGGATCTAGTTAATGACGTGATTGGGGTCAGTTTCAGATTTACACTTAAGGAGGCTCTTGATGTTGAAATAAACAACAGGGATTTATGATCTCTTAAAGGATGCTTAAGTTGTGACCAAATGGACAAGATTCTGAGTATGTATTTGGTAACCAGCAATTTAGACACTGGTCATCTTTTGAAACTAGATACATGACTCAGACAAAGTATGCATGCACAGTGGGTGTTTTACAGTATTATAATAAGGTTTAACCTGAGTTAAACTTAGGACTGAACAGATAACCAAACAGGAAAAGAATTAAACCACACAATACAGAGGCATACCTTATGTAATATTATGCCAACAATGATATTTTGCTAGTATGTTGTTAACACTTTAGAACCAAATTCCACCGTGATGTCATCCAACCTGAGATGCAATTCCCACTTTGCATGAAAAGAGTATGCTTTCACCATGTAATTCTTTCCCTCATTTCAATTAACCACTTCAACAGTAAGAACAGAACAGAGACTGTGACTATAGAAGTATACCATCTTGAGATTCCTTCTATCTGGGGGATAAAGTTGGCCTTACAGTGGTAATAAATTATCCAGTCCACAATGATCAACTCTAGCACTCAAAGTCCATCAGAGTTAATTTCCCTGAATAGCAATTAATTATAGTCATCCTCTTTACTCTGTATGTGCAAAAATGCCATTCCACGGGCATTTACTGTGCCTTTTAACACTGTACGTAAAGTCCTGCTCTTGTCAAACCAAATAATGACCAGAGCAGGGTGACATCACTTGTTCAAAACCTGAATATGAGTAAATTTTCTGTTAGCAGTACTATAGGAGATACTTAAGATTAGGTGATGGTCAAATATTCTGCAGCAGTCTAATTTCCCCCCAATGATGCTATATTCACATAGCTGGGTATGGTGGCAGATGCCAACACATGGGAATGCTAAGGCTGACAGATCTTTTTAGCTTGGGACTTCTGAGCTGTAGGAGTCTATGCTGATTTGGGTGTCTGCACTAAGTCCAACATTAATACAGACAGACCCTGGGAGTGGGAGGTTCCCAGGTTGCCTAAAGAGAGTAAAGCAGCCCAGGTTGGAAACAGCAGGCTAAAAATTCCTGCGCCAATTCATAGTAGGATTGGGCCCCAGAACTTCCGGCTTGGCCAAGATAGATAGGTCAAGCCTTAAAAAATTAAATTAAGGTTTCTGAAAAACGTAAGAAAACTTGTATGAAGTGAAGTAAGCAGAACCAGGAGGACAATTTATATAGTAACAACAATATTATAAAGCTAATCAACTTTGAAAGACATAGTAACTGTGATCAACATAATGACCGACCACAATTACAAAGAACTGATGATGAAACATGCTATGCACCTCCAGAATGAGAGCTGACTGATTCAAGGTTGAAGTGTATTTTTTTCTCTCTTTCTTGCCTTTTTTTCCCTTTTGGAATGTGACTAATGTTGAAATTTGTTTTGCATGACTATACTTATTTGTAATCGGTTTTTTCTTACTTTCTCATGAGTGAGGGAAGGAGAGAGGAAAGAGAGAGAATTTGGAACTGAAAATAAAACAAAACTGAACTAAATATAAAATGAAATAAAATTTTAAAATAAAATTTATATAGTATTTTCATGGGTTTCATATCTATTATATTGTAAATAGGTAAGTATTTTACCATTTAAGAGAAGAAACCAAGACACAGAGCCTTAGTTTATTCTCCAGATCACTTAAGTTGGCAAGAGAGCTAAGATCTAAACTCACATTTCATCTGTGCTGCCATTTCATCTTTCTCTATGATATCTTTTCTTTCCAGTACACTCACCTGATCTCAGAGGCATGACAACTGCTTGGGGTACATGGGCCTTTCTCAAAGGTGTCTTCCTATAGGAGGGCCCTGGTGCTTCTTCATCTTCAGGAGGCTTATTCTCCAAATTGGCCCTCTCCTCTGTAGAAAAGCAAGAACACCTTCATCACTTTGATAAATACTCACAATTACACTGCACTTTAAAGTTTACAAAACCCTTTATTCACAACAAACTTATGGGACAGCCCTATTAGCACCACGTATTCCCAGTTTATAGATAAATTAAGTTCTGACAGCTTAGGAGATTTGCCTAGGGTGGGTATGTGGCATATCTTAAGCCACCATTGGAACAAATAACAGGTAAGAAAATACAAGTCAATGACATGCCACATGTGCACATTCACCTGGAAGGATACCTAAAACCCTTACCAGTTTATATTCAAAGAAAACATTCACAAAATTAAACAAGAATCTTGTGGACTGTAGGGACAAGTCCAAATGTGATCCCACAGAATGAGGGTGAAGGACTGCTTAGGATCAAATTTCCACCAAAGATATTGAAGACACTTCATAAAACGCTAGAGAACAGTGAAAGTAAGGATTCAGCACTGTAACCAATGGACGTTTTATAGGCCTGACCTGGTGTTATCTACAATTTAAACTAGATCGTGATTTTCTTTTTTTTTTCCCCTAGGCAATTAGAGTAAAGTGACTTGCCTAGGGTCACACAGCTAATAAGTGTCAAGTGTTTGGTCTGAGGCTGGATTTGAACTCAGGTACTCCTGACTTCAGGGCCGGTGCTCTATGCACTGCGCCACCTAGCTACCCCTAGATCGTGATTTTCTTAAGAAAATGTAGTGGCAAGGCTTTAATATCTAAGAGATTTGTAAGCTTTCCAAGGGTCATGTTATTTCATCTACAAGGAGGTTCCAAAACTCGGCTGCATAGCTGGTCTTCTGCGAAAGTGCTCCTCTCTTCGGTCTTGGGTCCACTGGCTGTTGCTGAAAGTTTCATGGCATTAAGAAGTGTTGCCATAGGGGCAGCTAGGTGTCGCAGTAGATAGAGCACCAGCCCTGAAGTCAGGAGTACCTGAGTTCAAATCCAGCCTCAGACCAAACACTTGACACTTACTAGCTGTGACCCTGGGCAAGTCACTTAACCCCAATTGCCTCAAAGAAGTGTTGCCAGGGGCAGCTGAGAATATAACCCAACAAGGGCAGGCAGTCAGGACTCTGCTGGAAAGAAAAAACCCAGGTCAAACAAGTGCTCAAAAAGCAACAAAGACCTTATGACAGCCCGACCAGGCTCTCTCAGTATGTTATGCCAGTATATTCTGAGAGGTCAAGAACATGGAATGGAGCGATGGGGAGCACAGGAGGAGATAGCCCTGCTGGAGGTTATTATCTTCATCCACTCTCTGCACTACTAATGGGCTCTTCCTTATTGCTCCCAAAAGAGGTGACATGCCTAAAATGAGATCTCTTTAGGAGTAAAGTAGATGGACACAAAAAGAAAAATAACAACAGTCATAGGTTACACTCAGGTTGTAGACAAACTATATTTGGGTAGAACAAGTATAGCCATGATTCAGACCAATAAAATATTAGACTCCTTTTAAGAGAAGCAGATACAAATTGGTCAGTCACCTGGACACTGATGGTAATTAATCACATTTTTTAACACCTCTTAATTACTTGGAAGTCATTCCTTAGACTGAGCTGAGATCTATTCCAGTAGAATGATACACAAAGTAAGCCTACAATGTCCATATAATTGTTCCTCAAACATTTGAAAATAACCACCATGCCTCCTTTATATTTTCCCCTCTTCAGGCCAACCAGCTGATGCTTGTACGACATCGGTCTTCAGTCTTCCCACCCTTCTGGTCGCTCTCCTATGGACACAGAGGATCATAAGTTGGAAGGAAACTAACTCAGAGGCCACCCTGTCCGAGCCAGGCTTTAATGCAATCCCCTGTAGGGCATTCCTGACAAACGGTCATCCAGTTTTGGCTTCAAGACCTCCAGTGAAGGGGAATCAGCTACCTCCTAAGGCAGCCCATTCCACTTTGGATAAGCTCCAGATTTTTAGGAATTTTTTCCTTACTTCAAACTTAAATTTAGCCCACTGCAATTCCCACCCACTGTCCCCAATTCTGCCCTCGAGGGTCAAATGGAACAAGTTTCATTTGTCTTTCACACGATAGCCTCTCAAATCCTTTCTATGTCTTTTCCCCAGGCTAAACATTCCAAGGTTCTTCAACATCATAAGGTGGCCCTTCACTGTCCTGATTAACAATCTTCAGATGATCTTCAGCTTATCAATGTCCTTCCTAAAATGAGGTACCTAGAACTCATCACACAGTCTAGCCAAGGCAGAGTACAGTAAGACTTTTCCTTCCCTTGTGCTGTACCTGTGCTTCTCAATGCACTATCATATCACAGTATTAACTATCATTAGGTTACAATCCACTAAAACCACCAGATATTTTACAAGCTGTTAGCTAGCTGGTCATGCACCTCCTGCCCCTTCCTGTTCTCATTAAGTTAATCTCTTCTGGACCCAAATATAAAGCTTTACATTTGGTCACACGAAATTTCATTTACTTAGTTTCAGTTCAGCATTCTAGCCTGTAGAAATCTTCTTGGATCCTGACTTTGTCATCCAATGTGCTTTCTCTCCAGCTGTCTTATTTGCAAATGTAATAAGCACACCATTTTTGGACCTATCCAAGTCACTGATAATATTAAATATCAAAACTAAAGGCAGACTCTATAACATCACACTAAAGATCTCCTTCCAAACTAATTTTAGCCATTAATAGCTAAATTCTTTGAGTTGTGTCACTCAACCAGCTCCAGATTCACCTATCTATATCACAGATATATATGTATATATGCTAATATTATAGTAATATATTTATATTATGTTATTTGTAATGTAACATTATTAGATTATAGACTGTATATCAACCTATCTATATTATAACTTACCTCTTCTGTCTTTTTTAATAGGATGGCATGAGACTCTCAAATGCTTTGCTAAAATATCAGTAAAACTGAATTTGCAGCATTCTCCTGATCTATACACCAAATAATCCTGCCCCAAAATGGGGGAAATAGTCTACCAAGACTTGTTTGAATGAAACTATGTTGACTTTGTAATCACTGCTTCCTCTTCTAGATGCCCACTAATCATGTCTCTAATCTAGAATTTTCCCAGAAATCTAAATTAAGCTCACTGGCCAACAATTTCCAGGCTTCCTTCTCTTCCTTTTATTTTGAAAATCAGGACATCTGCCATTACCCAGTCCTGTGGTACTACTCCCAAACTCCGCAATCTTTCAAAAGGTCACTAACAGTGCTTCAGTAATCATATCTGTCAATTCTTTCAGTGCCCTAGAACACAGTTCATCTCATCTTGGTGACATATTCCAAGGTAGTCCTAGGTGCTCTCCTATTATCTCCTTAGAGGTGTACTGGGTATCAATTCCCCTATTAGCCATTTTTCTGTCCTTCCTAGGAGAGAGATCATTCTCCCTGAGAGGAAAAAACAAGAAAAATAAGAGTCAAATAGCAACTCTGCGTTCTGTTATCTATCAGCATCCCACCCCCACAAAGCTACAGTCCTGACACCTTTTCTTTGACCCTCCTCTCCCTCTCAGCCCAATACTACTTAAAAACTTTCCCCATTATCTTCTGCTTTATTCACCACCCTCAGTTCATTTTGAACATCAGTACACTCCATCACTGTTGCAGGACCATGTAATCTTGTGTTTGTGGCATTTCCTGCCTTTGTTTCCACTCTCTGTACACAGCTTTCAATAGCCTAAGTTGTTTGACCCTCTGTATCCACGTGGGTCTTTTTAGACAACTACCCATTTACCTCTTCATTGGAAGAGTTTCTCTTTGTGTCTTCAGAATTCTATTCCTGAGAGCTTCGGCCTTCCTAATCTGGCTTCCCCTGTAGAATTTTAGTCCATGAGATCACAGGATCACCTATCTTTTCTCTAAACCCTACAAAATGTGCTCTTCCTAAAAACTGAAGATGTATGCCTTGCTTTCTTCCCTTCTATCAAATTCTAAAATTGAGTGGTTGCGTATCCTCCAAGATTTCCATCATGAAAATGGATGAAAATACCAACAATGGTTCTTTTTTCCTAATGACAATCAGGTCCAGAATAGAAATCCCCCTTATTTTCCACTACTTTTTGAAGGATAAAATCCTTCACTTTTTGAAGGATAAAATTACAATCAAGTCAAGAGATCATTAGCTGCTCTGTTTTTGAAGAGGAAGATAACTTTGGAAAAAGTCAAAATAACTGACACCACTACAACATAGTAATATCGCAGTGCCAAGCAGTTAGGTGGCACAGGGGATAAAGCACTGGGCCTAGAGTCAGGAAGATCGGAGTTCAAATCCAGACTCAGACACTTACTAGCTGTGTAACCTTGGGCAGGTCACAGTAATCTCTGTCTGCCTCAGTTTCTTCAACTATAAAATGGGGATAATAATTGCACCTACCTCCCAGGGTTGTTGTAAGGATCAGAGAAAACATCTGTAACGTGCTTAGTGCAGTGCCAGGCACATAGTAGGTGCTACATAAATGCTTATTCCCTTTCCTTCCCTGGTTTGTGAGCTATTTCACAAGTTCCTTATCTATTTGTTTTCTGTCCAAGTGGTGGTTTGTAGTGTGCTCCAACCTGATCCAGCTTGTCAATGACCTTCCTTAAGATGTAAAGCCCAGACCTGGACATAATGTTGCAGACACGATCTGACCATGGCAGACGACAGAGGGCCTATAACCTCCCCCCTTCTATTCATGTGGACTAAGATCATGCTGGTTGTTTAAGCAACTACACTGCATTCACAATGACTTTTCAACACTAGGTCTTGCTCCAAGTCACATGAATTGCTGTCTAGCCATAGCCCTTGCACTCTATGCTTCAACATTTACTCGCTATCCAAACCTCTGTTTTCTTTGAACAAAAGCATGGTGTGACCATTGCAGTTATTCTTCCAAGCACTTAGCCTGACACAAACACAAAGCAAGGTACCAATAAAAAGAGATCTTTAAATAAAGATAATGAAAAATAACTTAAGTTTAAGAATTGACTTCCCAGGCAGCTAGGTGGCGCAGTGGATAGAGCACCGGCCCTGAAGTCAAGAGGACCTGAGTTCAAATCAGGCCTCAGACCAAACACTTGACACTTACTAGCTGTGTGACCCTGGGCAAGTCACTTAACCCCAATTGCCTTTTTAAAAAAAAACAAAAGAGGAAAAAAAAAACCCAGAAACAAGAATTGACTTCCCATTTGGCACTTTCAATAGGGTCCAAAATAAATATAAAGAGAATCCTATTCTGTCCTCAAAACTCTTTCCTCTCCAATCCATCTTCCACATGGCTGCCAAAATGATGCTCTTCAAATGCACAAGTCTGACCATATCACTACCCTGATCAATAAACTCCACTGGCTCCCAATTACTGCTAGGATCAAATACAAACACTTTTGGCTGGATTTTAAAGCCCTTCATAATCTCCCTCCAACCTACCTGCAGCCTTATCATATACCACTCCTCTTCATGCCCTCTTGTTGCTCTTCACACAATGCTCCATCTCCCATTGCCATGCCTTTATAGAGGCTCTCCCCTATGCCTGGAATACACGTCCTCCTCACCTCTACCTCTCAAAATTCCTCATTTCCTTCAAACACCTCATTCTTCATGACTCTCTGGGCTACTAGTACTTTCTCACCCCCAAAAAATTATCATTTTTTTTGTGTGTATATCTGTGTGTGTATACACACACACACACTCATACTCTCTCTCTCTCTCTCTGTTCCTACTAATAGAATGTAAGCTCCTTGAGCGCAGTTGTCTTCTTATCCCCAGCAACCTAGCACAGTGCCTGGCACATGGGAGGCACTTAACAAATGTTTGCTGATTGATTGGGAATTCAGTTTCACAAGCAATAAATAAACCCTCCTTATAAACAAAGGGGGTACAACTTGGATGAATACCTAATATAAGCAGAAAAGGATGCCAACTGGCACACAGACAGTCCTCAAAGCTGCCAAAAAAGCAGATACCTACCAAACCAGGAGTCCACATTATACACATCTTCATTATTCAAAGACGTGAAATTGATGAAGGCCGTTGGAGCATCAAAGGTATAAGAGGCTTTGCTCTGGGACATCGTGGCAGCTACTTCTTTATTCAGAAGCAAGTCCCTCTAGCTGGTGCAACCACTGTCTGAGGAAGAAACAAGTTGTGAGTGGGACTATGGAGTACTCTAAGGTACGATGTTCAAAATGTACTCGATGAAATGTGGTGGAAAAGGCTGCATGAGAAAATTATTATGATGCTAGCAATATTTTTCCAATTTAAATTTTAAATAATATGTTTACATCAAAAATCCGTAATCCACTTTCTGGTATAAAATAGAATTGATTTCTTCCACATTGCTTTCAAATTTTCCAAATCCCTCTGTTTAATAGGTATATTCCACAACACATTCTGCAGTCAAATTAGTCAAATTAGGGAAACAATGACCTAAGATGATGTTTCCTTACCTTCCAAGGTATTTCAGCACCTGGTGATATGGCGCAATCTTGCTGTCAACAAATTCAATTCAGTATAATTAACATGTACTAAGTGCATATTATGTAAAAAGAATTGTGATAGAAATTTTTTAAATTAAAATTTAAATAAACCTTGAATTCAAAGAAATAATAATCTAAGATACAAAAGTAGCCTAGAGAAGTAAATTTAAGATAAGTTGAAACAGGAGACAGCACTAATCAACTGGGGGGGGGATGGGAAAGCAAAGAGAGCAGTTAGTAGAGATTTCCCTGAAACTGTAGCAAATGAGCTGAGCCCTGACGAAAGGAAGAATCTGGGGCAGAGAAAAGCAGGCACAGAGAACAGTTTGTGTGAAGGCATGGAAAAAAGTACAAGCCCAGTTTGTCCACAATGCAGAATGCACAAAAGGGAGGATATGAAGTCTAGCTAGCGAAAGAGGTTACAGCCCTCCTGTGTGTCAGGTCAGTGTAGAGAGTTTCTATTTTCCCCTAGGGGCCATGAGGACTTCACTGAAGGCTTTAGGGCAGCTTAGCGGCATGATCTGACCCAGGCCTGATGAAGATTACTTAGGCAGCTATGGAGAAAATAGTTTGGAGGGGGGAAGAAAACTGAAGCAAGGAGACTACTACCATAGTGAAAGGTAATGAAGACCTCAAGTAGGATGGTGGAGAACCGACTGATTTGAGGCAACACAAAGGTAGAATCCAGACTTGGGAAGTTTTTGGATAGGCAGATGGAGAAACACTCAAGGTAACACCAAGATTGTTAATGTGGGTGACAGAGATAGATGATGGATGTGCACTATACAGAAAGGAGGAAGTGTGGAGGAAGGGTAGTTTTGGAGACAATCACAAGTTTAGAAGTGAAAGGGATGGTAGAAGTCATATAGTCCATCCAACTCCCTTATTTTATAGACATGGAAATTCAAGCCCAAAAAGGTCAAGTGAACTGTCCAGTGCCATATAAGGAACCCTAAGTATGAGAGCAAGGATTCAAACCCATGACCTTCTGACATCAAATCTAGCCTCTTCCCACTACACCATGCTGCCTGAAAGGCAAGTTCCATCAGTGATCCTGAAGGGACACACAAGTGACATCCAGCAGGAAGCCGGAGTATCAGACTGAAGTTCAGGAGAGAGCTTGGAAGGGAAGTTTTTGGGAGTCATTGCCACGGAGGTGATAACTGAATCCAGGGGAGCTGACAAGGTAGGGAAGACAGATGACATCTAGGACACCGAAGGACACTAATGTTCAAAAGGCTGGAGATGAGTGGTGATCCAGCAAAGGAAATAGAGTAAGCAAAGAGAGAGGGGCAGGCAAGGCCAAGAGAAGGTAATATCACAGACCCTAAGGGAAATGAGAGTATTCTGGAGGATGGAAAAAACAAGCATGGATAACTCTTTTTTAGGGGTTTAGTTATGAAAAGCAAAAAAACTAGTAAGGCATCATTGATCCAGAGCCGGAAGGGACCAAAGGCCACCTTGTCCACTCCCCAAATCACACAGGGAGATAAAGTGGTTTGCCCCAAGTCACACTGAGAGTAAGTGCCATAAGTGGGATCTGAACCTATGACCTCTTCACACTGTATCCAGCAGCCTCCCAAAGATAGTTGGAGAGGATGGGCAGGTCAAGTGAAGGAAGGATAAGGGATCCTGGTTGGGTTGGAAGGCAGAAGGAAGGAGAAAAGGAAAGAGAGAGAAAAGTCGAGAGGGAATAAGACTGAGGTAGAGGGAGGGGCAGAATAGGCAAAAAGATAGAGTTAGCTAAGGGTGAGAGACAGGAGCAAAGAAAGATACTACAAGGGAAGGGAAGAAAAGGGGAACTTGAGAAAAAGAAGTGCAGGAAAAAGGCACAAGGCAGAGATTCAGAAAGGTTAAGGACTTGTTTGTGGTAACACAATACATGTCAAAGCTAGGATTTTAACCCAGATTTCCCAAATCTACATGTAATACTTTTTCTGCTCTACTTTAAAGTCTTTCTACAGACAAGTTTCAAAAGAGCTAGAAAAAGGAAAGCCCAAACAGTGTAAAAGAGAGCTCCTATCCTTTCTTTTTATCTTTCTAACTGGAGGCCAGATAAACTGGAGTCTCTATTTCTAGTTAAACTACTGGTGTTAAACTACTAGTGGCTTCTTTTGTCTCTCCATTTTCATTCAAAGCACCTCTACCAAGGAAGCCATTCAGCAGGATATGACTGGCTCTCAAACTATTCCTCAGTGATGGTGATTAAAATGCCCTTGGGACAATCTTGGAGGAGGACTGTACCCAACAATCTTACACGGTTTTCCTACTTGGGCAAACCAAACATTAGTGGGCATGGGAAAAATCTAAAATTTCCATGATTCAATGCCTACCCCAGGTCACTGGGCATGCTTCCCAGGCTGGAATGTGATGGAAGAGACCAAAGGGGGAAAACGGAAGGAGGTAAGAGGAGAGAATTCAATCCATCAACCTCTCATAGCATTTTGAAAACAGTAACTCAAGACTGTGGGACTGAAACAAGGTGGGAGGCGTGCAAAGATAAGAACACTTAACACTAATATCTGAAATTTGTACAGCACCTTATGACTTGCAAAACACCTTATACAGTATCTTTTGAAGGTTTTTTTTTTGTTGTTGTTGTTTTATTTAACCTTTTAAGAGCTACAAAACCAGATATGGATTTTTGGATCTCCCTAAATACACTTCTTCACAGGCTAGCAGAGCCTAGATTTCTGCTAAATCAACACTACCTCATCATGCAGACCTATTAGTTCTAACATAATTTAAGTTTAGTGACTGGACATTTAAAGGAAAGATGTCCATAAACCATTTTCATCCATGAAATTCCATTTTAAATATCTCATTGTTAAAAGCAACTTCCTATGGAGCAAATGCATTTCTTTCAGATTTTTATACATTTTTCCTAAAACCAAACACCAGGCTTATAGTCAAGTCATAAACTCCCAGAAAGATAATTGCTTCTGGAAAAAAAAAAAAAAAAGAGTCCACAGAGAGAAGTGCTTAACCTATATTTAGGTGAAATTTAAAAATGAATCTTAGTATTTTTGCAGAACTGTGAACTGGTCCAGTTATTCTGGATAACAATTTGGAATTATGCAATTAAAGTAACCAAATTGTTAACACCCTTTGACCTAGAAATTCTATGACAGATCATACTCCCTAAGGAAGTTGAAGACAAAAACAAAGTTCTAATATATACCAAAATATTTCTAGCAGGACTTTTATGGTAACAAATGTTGCCCTGAAGCCAACTTAACTTGTCTTCTTGAGCTGCTATATTTTCTAGCCCACTGGACCTGGGGTACGCAGGAGACCCTGAACATATCACAACTTGGTTTTCCCATGTTTCCTTGAATATGAATTCCTCATATTTCTTAAGGTTAAAAAATATTTCATTACATTCAAATACCAGTTAACTCAGCAAACCAGACCCTTTTCTTCCCTCTGCTTCCACAAAAGCCTAACTTGACCCTCTTCAATTAAAACAATTGTTTTGCTTAACTGAGAATGGGATCAGAGTGCTGGGGGGGCCTAAGAGAATCCCCTCACTTTTCAGATGACGAAACTGAGGTCAAGTGACTTAAGTACAGAAATGACACCAATATTTCAAGCTAGGTAAGTATCTTGGGCAAATTCAGGTCGTAGAAAGTTTTTTTAAAGCCCACAGGAGCTAAGTGGGAAATGGAATAAGCCAAGGCCAAAACCAACCGTTAACAGAGCTGCAGGCACGGCGGGAATTGGATGCTTTCCTTTACCCTTCCATCAGGATTGAGTTTCTGTCAACACTCCTCACTTTAAAAAAAAGGCACATGCGTCATCGCATTCCCCCAAACAAGCCAAGCTGCCAAGTAAGAGATTCAGCATCACGTTTCAAAATTAGCTGATTCCGATGCAAAACGCCAGTGCTTTAGTGTGGCAAAATTAGGAAACCAGTTCATTGGAAGGCAGCTATTTATGACAGTTACCCTATAAGAAAGCAACAGAAAACATCCTCTCTAATAACACAGTAACATTTTAACTCAAGGAACTATTACCCTCAAAAAGCTAAGTTCAGCTCTGAAAGTTATACTAAGATAAAAAATGGTCCCTGCCTCCATCAAGCTTACAATCTAGCAGAATACATGACATACGAAAGACCACAATTCAAAGCGGAGTATAAATGAGAGGTACAAATCCTAGGGAGGCCCAAGAATAGAAGGATCAGAGAAGACATCACAGAAGTGATAACATGTGAGTAGAGTTTTAAGAAATGAGTAGATTTTTCAAGAGGCTGGGGAGAGAGGGGAGGAAAACGGCAGAAGCAAACACAAGGTGCTAGGCTTTGAGGATAAAAAGATGGAACAATGACACAATCTTTGTCCTCAAGGAAATCACAATATGCAGTAATATGGGGTATCAGATAAAACATGAACACATAATTAGAATGCAAATAAGAATATAAAAACATAGAAAAGATCAACAGAGACATGAAGAGGCAGCAATCATTTCTAACTGAGTGACCAGGGTAAAACTCCAAAGATTCAAGAAAGAAGGGAGCTAGGTCCTAAAGAAAAAGGATTTCAACAAGAAGAGACAGGCTGTCATTCTAGTGGTCCAGGCACAGTGGTCAACAAAAGCAGAGCCAGAAGAAGGCTAAAGGAGGCTGAAGAATGATGAATAGCCCAGCTGGCTGTAAGGTGGAATGAGTGAAGTGGACCAGTGATGGAGATGTAAGACTGGAAAGGAATGCTTCCGATTATATAGGGTCTTGAACACCAAGCTAAATTGTTCAAATTTTATTTATCAGGCAACTGGAAGCTTTCAAATGGGGGAGTAATATGATCAGAACTGTACAATAAGATTACTTTGGCAGCAAGGTAAAGGAAGGTTTGAAGTGGGGAAACACAGAAAATGTGAGTAGTTTAATCAGTAAACAATTACTTACGATAATCCAGGTGAGAAGCAATGAGAACTTCTCTCTCCTATACCTTCACTGTCTAGATCCAAACATTAATAAATGGAAAGACAATTAAGTCCCAACAAGATCTCCAAGTAAAAATCCAATTTTGTTCATTTTATTTGTCTATTTTTTTTTATTAATGCAGAAGAGCAGACTTTGGGGTTTTAGAAAGGCTTGTTCAATAAGGATTGAAACAGAAGGGCTAAAAGTAAAAAAAAATTTTTTAAAAAGAAACAAAAGGGCTTTGGTGCTTGACCCTCAATTTATTGGTAAATTCTATTAAACCTAGACTATTGAGTAAAGAACACTAAACCCCAAGTCAGGAAACTGGGTTCTAGTTCCAGCTCTGCCACTAACTAGCTGTGTGACTTCAAGCAAGAAGTTCTCCCCTCTGGGTCTCACATAGAAGAAGGGATGGGAGGATATCTAAGGTTCCTTCTGGCTCAAATATTCCCAACTTATCCAAGCATTCCTGCTGAATCAAGATTTATCTGTAACTGCAAGAAGACGCGTGGAATTGTAGATGTTCAGAACTAGTAAGAAACTTAGATAGACACCATCTAGACCAGTTGACATACAAGGCAGCTGAGACCTGAAGAGAAGGAATTTACCCAAGTAGTAAAGCTGAGATTAGAATAGATTTCCTGACCTCCAGAATCTTTCCATTCCAGCTTCAGGCTTTCTATAGAAGTATCTGCTTGAATGCTCTAGAGGAGCACAGAAAATTATGTCTCTGGTGGCATCTCTCAAGGAATTTGCACCATTTATGGAGTGCCTCCCCCCACCATAACCTCTGTCTGTCTGTCTGTCTCCTCTCTCTCCCTCCCTCCTTCCCTCCTTTCTTTCTCTCTATCTCTCTGTCTGTCTCTCTCTGTCTCTGTCTCTATCTCTGTCTCTGTCTCTCTCTTTCTATAGAAGTATCTGTTTTTACTTAGTGCCACACATCAACCAGGTATGAAAGGAGAAATGTTTTACTGTGCTTTGAAAGCTTATGAGAGTTGACACATACTAACATGGAGGAGGACTGAAATGCTATGACACAAGTGAATGCATGTCATAAAAATGCTAAAAAAGCACAATGTAGTATAAGAAGCCCTAAACTAGTGTTCAGAAGATGTGAATCATACTCTGGCCTCTGCCACTAACTGGGCAAGGCCATTTCCCCTCCCAGGACCTCAATTTCCTCATCTGCCAAATAAGACAATTAGACTAGACAATAAGGAAATCAAACTAGATATGTCTAAAGTTGAAGCTCCAAATACATGGTTTTATATACCTCCACAATTACCTAAAAGTTTCTAGAAATAACTTAAGAGTAGCACTTCTGTCACTGAAAAGCAAGGTAAATGAATAACAGAAACAAGACAAAATGCTCCGAGACAAGTGTCAGAAAAACCAAATTGTCATTCTTGTCTATGGTACTCAAAAGATGACGTGTGTTTCTATCTTAAGACTTTCAATTGTCAGCAGTACAAGGGCATGAATGTCGGCTCCCTAAAGGAACCCCAGAATGCCTGGCATAGAAGGCACAAAGGCACTTAATAAACACCTCTTCACTTGAAAGTATTGAATATTTGTCAATCTCCTGACCAAGAACCTCTAACAGGCCCCCTATTATATCAAGTTCAGGCTTTTCAGGCCTTTCAAGGTCTCCACAACTCAGACTATACCCTCATTACTTGGCCTTAGCCCTCCCCAAGAAGCAGTCTTCTCTCCCATCAGATCCATGTTCTCAGTCCTTCCTGTAACATGGATGGGAATACATATTCCCACCTATTTATAATTTGCCTATGGCTTCACTTAAGTCATTCTGCCCAAAATGTATCCCTCCTTAAAGACCACCCATTCTTCAAAGCTCAGTTCAAGTCCCACACCTCCTCCCTCAGCCTTCTCTGAGGCCTAGAATGAACACATAGGTAGGGTGGCAGAGTTCAGAGAGACATGGGTTTAGAGTCAGATAACATGGGTTCAAATCCCAGCTCTATGACTTAGTAACTCTGTGACCTTGGGCAAATGACTAAATCTCTCTGAGCCTATTTCCTCATCTTTGAAATGAGCAGATTGGTCTAGATGACCTAGATGTACTAATGCCCTGGGCCAGCTCTAAATCCATGATCACCAGCCAATGAGATCACATTCCATTCCACGAACTTCTATTGTACTTATGACCTGGCAACACAGTTTAAAACTTAATGGTTGTCTTCTCTCTGTCAGACTTTAAGTTTCGTGACAATAGCATTTGTCTTTCTACATATGTCTTTGGATATGATACCTAGAATACCCAGCACAGTACTTTGCTTATAATGTGCTCAAATATTTGTTGAAAAATCTGGTCTCTGATTGAAGCTGTCTATATTTGCAATCCTGTTCCTACTGCTAAATCTCTACTGCAATTCCTGCAACTTTATGAGTAATGAGCACCTATAAGTGTTTAAAGCCCTTGGCAAAAAAAAGAGAGTGTTAGTGAGCTGTAAAGTTCATGGGTTTCCAACAAACTTTAAGCTTCTGCATGGGCTTCAGAGGACTGATTGAAAATAGAAGAACCAGAAAAATAAGTATTTATAAGAAAGAATTGCAGAAATTGCAAGATAATCCCTCAATTTCCACGTATTCCTGATATCAGCCGCTCATAGCCTCCTGTCTCTCTTCGCTCTCCATCCAAAAATAAACTAGATTTGACAAGTTCCATAAATCAAATGGTACAGCTTGTGGAAGGGAGTTAGTTGCAAGGCAGTCCATTCTAAGCAGTGCTGAGACAGTGGTCAAGTCACTGCAATACTCTAAGAAAAACAGACTTGGATGCCCCCTAGCCTCCATCCAGCTTGTAAAGTTTGGTCAGCCTCAATTCCACGAGGAAAGATTGCACACTAAATTCATGATGCAGGAGACAAAATGTGAAGTTAAAACTTTGAACACTTAATTGCTTTCAAAAGATTACTTTCCTCTGTGTTTTGAAACCGAAATCATAAAGTACTCCAGCAAATTTTCTTGTAAGGCACTTTAAGGTAAGATTCCCAACTAACTTTGCCATCTAAAATAACAGCAGAAAATAAATCGTGTAAATCATGAAATGGTTCGAGTTTTGGGAGTAGCAGGTACAGATCACTTCTTGGGGGTAAGACAAAGTTAGCAAAATAATATAGGAAAAGAACAAGGTAGCAAGTACCAACAGCCTGACCACCGGCCATCCAATTAGCCACTTCCCGAGGGACACCCCCTGCCTCCCATCACAGAGGAGGAAAGATCTAGTTACAGCACCACAAGTTAAATGGAGTCAAGTTATTTTCATCATGCCCAGGGAGAAAACACCTACATATTTTTTTCTTGTACATAAGGGATTAGCAGGAGCCAGTAAATGGCAACATAATCCAGCATGCAATCTTAACTGTTAATCAAAGTCACAGACTAAGTCTGAAGGAAGTTTAATGGACTTTGTGTTTCCACATTTAAGTTTGCTAACTTCTTCAATGCTGAAACCAGATCTGTTTACAGAAACAGATCTAAGAAGCTTCCAAAATTGGGTCAATTTTAAATCCAATGACAATCCCCCAGCTTCCAAACACCCAGAAGTCAGCACAGGACACAAGAACACTTGTTTTAATCCATCACTGTCAAGAAACATGAAGCAAATAAAATATTTCCAACATTTTCCTCACTTCACCCCTTCTGGGCTATTTCATATGTTATCCTTAAAAAGTAAGAAGTTTTCTCTTAAGGAGAGAACAAATGAATTCAGAGATCTTACTTTCCCTGGAGGGATAGACCATTACCTCCAGAAGTCTATGAATAACAGTCCACTTTTAGTCATGTCTTGGGCCCTAAGTGGAACCTGATGATACTGGTACTCAAAATAACAAAGTTCTGGTTTAAGGACTCACTAGAAATGTAGAAAAATACTAAGTTGAAGGTGCATCAAATATTGAATGAACAACCTGTTAGGCTGAGCTCAAAAGGTCTCTTTCAGTTCTAATAATCTATGAGAATTAACCCTTCAAGAGACCTTAAGAGACAAAACAAAAATACCTAAAGAAATCTCAAAATGACATTAAATTCAATGGCATTAACATTCTATTAATAAGCACTTATTTAGTTTGTGTGTGTTTTTAAATAACCATGCCATCCCCTAACCCCAACAAAACTAAAGATTATATATAACAGAAAGGATCAGGAAGCCAAGGACAGGTAGGTCTGCCACTATGCTTTCCTTCTCTGAAACTCAAATTGCCTCATCTACAAAATAAGGGAGTTGGACTAAACAAAATAATCAGAAAACAGAATGTTATTCATAGACTTTTATGAGGTCCCTGACAACTCTAATAGTCTGATTGTATGAGTATGTACCTACTATTTTCCTTTGAAAATCAGTTCATTTTGCTTATATTAGTAGCACTGCCTTAAAAATGGTGTTTACCAACCTTTTCTAGTTTATTATATGATCTAGATGGGACACCTGGTCAGAGTAAGCAGTACATTCTCCCTGAACCCTCCTTCCAAATCCATTGGTTCAGCCATCTGTTTAACCATATTATAGGTAGCAATATATCAACCATCTTCTTCCCTCTCTTCATATCAAAGTTAGCAACAAACTTTGAGATTATCAATAAAATTATCAAAATAGCTTAAGCTATTTTCCCTTTATCCCTTTTTTTTGTGTGTTTCACTCTAGGAACAGACCCTAATCTCCAGCTTACCTGTCAGTCTTCGGGTCCACTTGCCCTCAGGCTGGGAGTGAAAGCCCAGTGTAACCTCTCCCAAATTATCTGAAAGACTGGAATGCAACCTTTTGCCAATAGCCGTCTTAGAAGAAACAAGCAGGACTTGGCATGGGTATAAATCTTCTGGTCTTAAGGTAACTAGATGGAGTAAAAGAGGTAGGGAGAGAAAGAACAGAGAGTGAACAGGAGGCAAAAGCCCAGAGTAGATGGACAGAATACCTAGAGAGGGTTGAAGAAGGACAATCCAATGAGTAAATAGTTCATCCTGTGAAAAAAAATTTGCCAGTGTCACTATTATAGCAATAGCTGTGCACTTTTGCACCAAGCTTAGCTACTTTTGCAATCTCTGGATGGTAGGAATGGGAAGAAGCAGCCTGGTATATCGAGGGAAAAAAAAATCAATGGTCTTGGAGTTAGGACACCTGGTACTCACTAGCTATGTAATCCTAGGCAAGTCTCCTAACTTTTCTGAATCCATGATCTCCATCTATAAAGTGAACATAACATTCGCCCCACCGCTCTTTGGGAGCTGTTTTAAATACCAGCATTCTGTATACCTTAATGCACTAAAGAAATGTTAGTGGATGATTATGGATTACCATACTCTAAAAGAGATCCACCTCTTGTGAAGAGACACTTCTGAATGAGGGAAGCCAAGGGAGACACAGAAGGAAAAGCTTTAAGAAGGTCAGTACCCAAGTCCCTGGCAAGACTGCCAAGACGAATGAATGAAAACCACCGTTAAGCTCTTACAACCTGCCAAGTACAAGGATACAAATATAAGAGAGCCAGTCTCAGCCCTTAAGAAGCTTGTTCTAATAATGTGGAAAGACAATGGAACAGCAGTGGCCGAGAAAGGAGTCACAAAGCAGAGTGGAACAAAAGAGCAATCTATTAACATACCAACATGCCTTTCACCCTTACCAGGTTTTTTATTAGTAATGGTGATTTGGTTACAATTCTCAGAGAAAGAGATGAATAGGATGGTATAGGAACGGATAAGAAAAGAAGAGGGATAACCCTAGGTGAAGGAAAATGAGGTCCCGATGTATATTTCATCATCTGCTCCCTGGAACCTTCACTGGTTTTTCAATTATTCTTGAGTTCAACTTACTTTTAGAAGTCTTTTCAGGGCAGCTAAGTGGTGTAGTGAATAGAGCTCTCGCCTTGGAGTCTGGAGGACCTGAGTTCAAATCCAGCCTCTGACACTTAACATTTACTAGCTGCATGACTCTGGGTAAGTCACTTAACCCCAACTGCCTCACCAAAAAGAAAAAAAAAAAAGGAAGTCTCTTCATTTACAATGTTGAATATTATTATATTATATAGTGTATATTTTATTTCATTGTGTATATTTTTATTCTGCATCATTTCATATAGATCTTTTCATGTCTCTCTGAACTTATAATTTCTTACAGCAGAGTAATACTCTGTAGACCCCCTTTACAAAAGGATATGTATTTCCTGGTGACAAGTGACCTTCTTTAACTTGGATTATCACAGATTCTTGTTTCATTAATGGAGTTAACGCTTTCATATTAATGAATTAACACCTGAGACCCTGGGCAGAAATCAGTGGCTAGAGATGTCTCCCTGCTCTCTGGCCAAAATACAGATATTTTCAAGAACTGTGTTCATTTCAAAAAAGTAACTAATTACTTGCACCAAATAACACAACAAAGAATTTCTATTAGACATTTCCCTTTTTAGTGAGGTGAGAAGTCAATTTCATGAAGGCTGAACAGACAAATCTAAGGCCGGATAGATACTGAAGAAAAGCTATCCCTTCTTAAACCAGATAATTCAAACAGAAGTTTAAGACAACTTTCCAAAAAGGTTGAATATAATCAACTGGTTATTTAAATCATGTTGAGGACAGTCTAAACACTAGTCCATTAGATATTAGTTAAGAGATAGTACCTGCGCACAAGATATGCTCATTCCCCTCATTTCTTCTCTCTCTTCTATCTAAATCTTAACCCTTTCTGTATCATAGGCTGCTTTAGCATCTTAGCAAGGTCTATGGACCCTTATTTAGAAATGGTTTTTAATGAATAAAATTAAAATATATGAGATTACAAAAGAAACAAATTATACTGAAATACAGTTGCCAAAAAAAAAATGTTTAAGTTCGTGGACCTCTAGTTAAGGAAGCTAAATCTTTTCCATCCTCTCTATGAAAGCATTCCCCAAATTACTCTATCCCGCAGTGATCAGACTCTCAGAGGCCAGCTAGTTCAATCCATACCTGAAGCATTAAACATCTTCACAGCATTGTGAAAAAGTGTTTGTCTGACTCTGCTTGTACACCGCTATTGACAGAGAATTCACTTCTTCCCCTTAGCTTTCTCCAGGCAGCTCTCTCCTCCTGGCTACTATTAGCCTTACAGCATGTACCATACAATACAGCACTAAAGGATAAACCAGTTTATACTAAGATGCATCTATTATCTCATCCATTTAATGTTCCTTCTAACAACACAGATCCCAAACCATTTCTGCCAACCCATGTTAGATAAGATACATTAGATCAAGATTTACATAAAGTGAAAGCCTTTCTTGCTTTCTCTTGACGTAAAAAGGATACCAGTTGAACACTTGGGCTGTCCAACTGTCCCCAATATGACCAGCCCATATTCTTTTCTGTACTACATTTTCCTGATGACTTTCTTTATTTCTATTTTACTCCTGTTCTTCTTCCTCACTGATGACTTTTATTAACCTACTCACATTCACCATGCAGGTTTCCATTGCCTTCTGGGTGATATTTTCAACACACAAGAGACTGCGTTACTTGTCTCACGGCTATACAAAATCTCTGAGACCCACTGACACACACAGATCATCTTCAATGAAGGATTTTAGTAGGAAAGAGGCAGACTTTTGTTATATTGTACAATGAACCACATCTTTACCATCACGAACAGTCTGAAAAATGTAGAGAATACAAGTTCATTCAATGTGCTTATTGTCTATTGATCATGGAAAAAAAAGCTGGAACCAGAAAACAGCACCTTAAAGTTCCCTTCCAACAAGATGTCTCCCATCCATACATCAAAATCATTCAAGGTTCCTTGAAAGATATTGGAAACTAACTTGTACTAGTCTCAAAATGTTTTGTACATCCTTAAATAGAAAGGAAGCTCCTTTGGAGTGTTACATTTCATACTTCCGTATTCCCAAAGTGTCTAGCACATAGGAGGTCCTGCCTACAATGATGAATGAGAGAAATTCAACAGAAACACTCTGAGAGAATCAAAGTCCATTCCAGAATAGGTACTTGGGCATTACCACCTAAACAAAAGAAGTGTCCTAGGAAAAGCACTGGGGAATCAAGAACTTTTCTTGCCCTCACGATAACCAGGGATTGAGAAGGCAGCAAAAAGATGTCCAAGGGAGAAAGATGCAACATCAATACAAGAGAATGAAATCAGAAGTGAAGCCATGCAAAAAAGTACTAGATTTATCTCTAGGGCTTATTGGTGTCTGACACATAGTGATTAATTAATACTCGTTGACTGACTGATAACTTTTATTTCTATAGTGTTTTAAACCTTACCCAGGTCTTCCAACCACAAATCTGATGCTCCTTCCACTGTATCATGTGGAAGCGAGCACTACAAGACCTAGGTTCTGAGAGGGAGAGTTCTTCCTAGTTGGGTGATTGGTTAAGTCACTTAGGTTCAAAGACTTAGAGCTAGGAGAAACTTCAGAGAGATCCTAGTCTAAACCCCCTTCATTTTATTTATTTTAAACAAGAAGTTTATTTAAACAACAAGATGTTTGACTTCAGGGGAAAACGCCACTGAGAGACAGAGACTGTGCTACATGTAAACAGCTAGTACAAAAAAATTTGTAAAATCGTCTCTGGTTTTACAATAATAAAAGAAAAACATTGAAATTATCCAGTCAAACAAGGTATGCAAGGATTTTTTTGGTAGGTTTTTTTGTTGCTGTAGTTCAACAGTGAGAGCAAAATAACTTACTGGAATATAAAGGTAAAAGTTTAATGAGCATGCCACTAATGGAAAAAGGGGATATTTTCACAGAACCAATTTGTTTCTTCCCCTCCCCATCTCCATTTGATGTTGATCAAAACAAAACATACCATCAGTCACTTAGTTAAAAAAAAAAAATACCTTATTCCTGTGCACATACACCTGTTACTTTATGTACAATAAAGGAACGGGGGAAGGGTATCAAAGAAGAGAGAAAACTATACTGCAGTAGTCAGGAAAAGGATGAACCAAATCTCGGTTTTCTAATTGCAAATGTATTGTTTGCCTTGGGAGCACAGCTCTGGAGTAGAGTTGCAGGCTGTATTTTTAGTAGACACCTCCTGTCTGCTGCTGAAAAACATCAATTGTATCTTCATCCTCCATCTCCAGCTGTGTAGATGTGTCTGTTTCATTGGTTGCCCATCAAATTGGAATCTGATCTACCTCACTGACAAACTCTGTCATTCACAAAAGGCTTTCCTTAGTTTACTAAGTGGTGTGTGCCTCTTAATCTTAAATTGCACCACCTGAACCATCTTGCCCTGTCATCTTCAAATTAATGTGGTTGTAGTTTTCAGTGTTGACCCCTTCCTTCTCCTGGCCATGGTAAGTGTGTGTGGGGGTGGGTGGGGTGGGGGGGGTTGTCTCTTCAGCTGCTGCTTCACAAAAGAAGCACAAGGATGATTCATTCCAAGGGAAAGGGGGAGGAGGGAGCAGCAGGAGGAGGAGGAAGATGATGGGGAGGAGGAGGAGGAAGAGGAGCTGCTCATTTTAGAGATGCCATCTAAGGCCTACAAAGGTTAAATGTCCAATCCAAGGTCACACGGGTAGTAACTGACCAGACTCTACTACAATGACTGACTCCCTCTCTCAGGTTTGGTTTCCACATGTTTAAAATAAGAATGCTATCCATTCCTAGTAGAAAGAATGTCAATAGATCACAAAAGATAGGTTAGAGTCCCAGCTTGGGAACTACTAATGTTCCCAGCTCCATTTATCAGTAGTCTTTTACTACTCTCACTCATCTCTGTACATGTTCTAGTCTGCCCAATAGAAAGAAAGTTCCTTGAGGAGGTAGGGATGATCATAGATTCAAAGCTAGAAGAGGCCCTGGACATCATCCAGTCCCTCCTCCTTTAGTTTTACAAGTAAAGAAACTGAAGCCAAGAGAGGTGAAGAGACTTGCCCAGGTCACAGAAGTTTTAAATAGCAAAGTGAAGATTCACACCTAATTCCTTCGATTCCAAATCCACTTTCCACTGAAATGTAAGTTTTTTCATCGCCACTCCCTATTATATGGGCTGAGGTTATAGTAGGTCCTTAGTGTCTGTACACTTTACTAGTGACTGGGGTGGGGAGGGGGGATCACTTCATCTGGCTGAGCCTCAGTTTCTCCCATATGTAAAATTGGAATAATATTTAACAACCCAAGGAGTAGGCGGTGGAAGAAAAAGTGCTTTGTAAACCTTAAATCCTTCAAAGAAATATGAGAAAACAAAAACAAAAAACAAACTACCTACCCACATGCTTGGAAACCAGAAAACCTGAGTTCCAATTCTAGCTCTCAGTAATTGAGTGATCTTGGGTCGGTCACTTCACCGGAGCCTGACGCGGGTGCTAAAGCCCGAGAAGGATGTACAAGAGGGCCAAGGCTGCCCACCTTCTCCCTATCTCTGGGGCTGCAGAGAGGAAAGCACAATAAAACGGGAGCTGCTGTTGTTATGCCAGGGGCTTCCCCTCCCCCGCTCAGGAGGCTGGCGGCTGGACCCCTCAACGCTCCCCAACACTTTCTCCCGAGAAGAGAGGAAGAGGATAAGAAAGCAGGAGGTAGTGAACGAGGCCCACCCAGACCTCCAGCTCTACGGGCGAAACTAGGCGAGGGAGGCGGCGTCCACAGGGCGCGGCACAGCCACCACCCCACGAGTTCCCCCGAAGGCTGCGGGGCTCCGAAGAGAGGGAGCGGACTGACGCTGGAGAACAAACGGAGGGGACGCGGGGACAGGCAACCCCTGCACTCACCTCCAGTCCGTACAGCCAGTGCAATACCCCTCCAGCTGCTGCAACTCACCTCGCTACCCGTTAAAGATTTGAAAGCGGACTTTTGAGTCTGAATCTTCCAATCAGAGGACGTGGAGCGCGGTACTCTGCGCCTTCCGATTGGCCCGCTAGGCAGCGGCCACAGCCGAGAGCCCACAGGAAGGAAAAGAACACAAATACACCCTCCTCCTTCGCGACCGAGTCACGGCCCTGCGGAGCCTGCTGGGAAATGTTGTCCTTGGGCGGCCTCGACCAATGGAGAAGCAGGCTCAAAGGAAACTACATCACCCAGAAGGCCCTGCGCCAAGATCAGCTCAAGCCGTTTTTTCTAGGAAGAGAAGAATGAGCGCTCAGGACTTTCCCAACTCTACTCACTAGGGGAAGCCTAGGTCGTTTGTTTAAGTTGGGTTTTTTTTTAGCCTCTATGAAGCTCTGCGACATACTTGCAGTCGCGGATAAAAACATCCCTTTTCCTGATATTCAATGTGGACTTGCTCCTGCTTCTAGACGCATTACTGAGTTAACTCAAAATGTTCCCTATGACGCCACTGATTGGATCGTTCCACATTGGCAAGCAGAATACCCCCCGCAGCCCCGGACCAACCGAGTTCGTGGACGCTTCCAAGTCCTTCCCTTCCCCCCAGGCATCAGTGAGCCTGCAGGGTGCCGGGTCTTGGTCCTCTGGTTCCAGGAGGGAGGAGATGCAGCTGAGAGGCAGGAGCACCCGATGGAGGAATCCCCAGAGGGGAAGTAATGGCTGGCGCCTTCCCAGGGCCAGAGATCACGGCTCAGACACAGCAGGCCTATGTAACATTCCAGCTGTTGCTGTGGCTTTGTGACTTTTACAGATGTGTTTTATAAATGTGGTTCTCTTAACAGCCCCACGAAGCAGCCACTGTGGATGTTTTCATTCCCATTTTACAGATAACTAAACTCAGTCAACTCACCCTCCTAACTTTGGCCGCCTCCTATTTTTGTGGAAGACGGTACCATATTTTCTCTTCACTTTTCCTGCATGTAGCTCTCTTCAAGGTTCAGCTCAAGGGCCACCTCCTTCAAAAGGTCTTTTTTCGTTAGTTGGGTGGCCTTCTCCCCCACTTACTTATTTGTGTTGTTTCCTCCCAGTGGAACATAAATCCATCAAGAGCAGGGCTTCGTTTTCAATCAATCAACACTTATTTAAGCTCCTACTATGTGCTATTCCCAGTGCTAAGCCCTAAGGATACAAAAAAATGCACAAAATTATCCATGCCTTCTTGGAGCTTACTGTCTAGCGATCTCACAATCTTTTTCATTTTTTATTTTCACTGCAGAACACAATGTTTGATACATTTTGTTGTTTTGTTCAGCTGTGTCACGTCATGATTCCATTTGGAGTTTTCTTGGCAAAGATACTAGAATGGTTTGCCATTTCCCTCTCCAGCTCGGTTTACAAATGAGGAAACTAAGGCAAACAGGGTTAAGTGACTTGCCCAGGGTCATCCAGGTAGGAAGTGTCTGAGGGCAGATTTGAAGTCAGGAAGATGAGTCTTCCTGCTGCTTCACACATAGTAAGTGCTTAATAAATGTTTATTGATTAAAAGAGGCAATGTTCATAAGAGAAGTGATAATGGTGCTGTACTTAGACTGTAGTCAGACCATATCTGGGGGTATTATGAACAGTTCTGCATATAGGAGAGACCCCAATCAACTTGATGAGCTTGATGAGCAATGAGCCTTTGGCACTTTAAAAAATTCCTTTCCTTATAGAATGGGCAGCTGGGTGGCACAGCGGATAGAGTGCTGAGTTCAAATTTGACCTCAGACACTAGCTGTGTGACCTGGTCAAGTCACTAAGTAACTACTGAACAAGAACACTTACCTAGCCAGACACCCAACAAAAATCTGCATAATTAACTCCACCCCCTTCCCTTCCCTTTGTCTAGTACTGATTGAGATCCAGTAATCCCAGACAACTATCTGATTTAAGATTGGAAAATTCCTTTTAACTCCTGTTTAACCCATGATTGTATGCCCTCATCCTCAAAACATATTTCAGGCTTTCATAACATCACTACTGTGGAAATATGTTTAGCATGATTGTACATGTATAACCTATATCAGATTGCTTGCCATCTTGGGGATGAGGGAGGGAGAAAAATTTGGAATTCAAAATCTCATTTAAAAAATGTTGAAAACTATCTTTACATGTAATTGGAAAAAATAAAATATGATCTACCAAAAAAAAAAAACCCAAACATATTTCAGGGACTCTTCCCCCTCTCTACCCTCCCCCCCAAGAAAAATCCCTGGAATTTGGTAGAGGCTAGGAAAAAGAATCCTATCTAACTCCCAACATCCTCTTTGGCATGAAATTGAAATCAGAGCAATACACAATGCCAGGTAAAGAATTGGGACTATATTCCTTCTTCTATTAAGGTCTCCCACTGCATATGGGGCCATTTCCAGGGGTCCTGATCTATATCTTGCCCCTGGACCCAGATGGCTCCAGAGAAGAGAGTGAAGCTGGTGACGTTGCACAGCCCTGCCTCACTTTAATTCACTTACAAATCAAGACATCACATTTCTGATGTCATTGATACTCTTTGAGAAGGAAGGACAAACAACAATTTTGTTTAACCAGCAATAAAAACATTGATCCTTTTATGCTTACTTCTACCCCCCACAGAGGTATGATCTCTACATGCCAAATGCACAGGTCTACATGATAAATTACAAACTCCCAAGCCAGTATTCAGGACCTTCCACAATTTACCTTCAACACATCATTCCAAATTTATCTCACACTACTCCCACTCACATACTGTCTACATCAGTGGTGTCAAACTCAAATAGAAACAGGGGCCACTCATCCACACATGAAGATCCCTGTGGTCACAAATCAACTAAGTTTTAAAATGTAATATTTATCAAGGTTTAATTATATTTTTATTTATTTTGTTAAATATTTCCCAATTACATTTTAATCTGATTCCAACTTCAGGATAGTGTTGTGGGCTGTGTAGGCCAACACTCCAACAAGGTTCACCAGCCCTGAACATTCTCAGGTTTTCTGACTTGTGTTCATTTTGTGTGACCATGAGGAAGTAGCAGCATTACACATAGTGGGAAAGAGCCTTGGATTTGGAGTCAGAATTTCTTGGTTCTGCTATTTGGCCAAGTTATTTTTAATTCTCTGGGCTTCAGATTTCTCATCTGTAAAATTTTGGAAAGGGTTAGGTTACAGTTTCAAAGATCTCATCCAACTTTAAATCTTGTGATATAATAAATTGAGCTTAAATCAGTTAGCCTCCCTATAAGGCCAGGATAATATTACTGGCCCTAAAGTCTCACAGGTTTATAAACCTTAAAGTGCTATCTAAATGTGACTTGTTCAAAATGTGAAAGAATAAAAAATACACAAAAGAAAAAGAGATCAGAAGGGGAAGTTAGGGCTAATGGGATGTTGTTCTCTAAAGCTGAAATTTACATTAAAAAATTATAAACTCCTACATAAGCACTGTACTGTCAAGCACTATGCTGATACCAGGGCTCCTACCCCAGCACCTGTCTCCTTCCCCATCCCTACCCCAATCCGCACACTCCATCTCCTGCTTCCCAGAGTAAATGTCTACTAGGTAGCCCACCAGCCAACCTGGAAGAGCAAAATAAGGACCAACCATTCTGGGAGTCAATACCGGTGGAAAACTGTGAGTATGGTGCTTCAACTCCCCACCCCAGCTTACTTCCCTGGAATCTATTTGCTACTCCTCCTTGCTTGATATTATCCACCCACCCAAACCAGCTCTTCACTCCAGGTCCCATGGGCACCGGGTCCAGAATCAGAGCTTCTCTTCCAGGGGTGTGCTAGAGCCAACTCAAACTTGGCTATCCAGAGCTTATGGAGAAAATGTTAACAATGCAAATTAAACTTAAAAATTCCCCCCCCCCAAAACTCACCCAGTCAGTTGTTAGGCATTTTACCAGCACATCACAGCTACAGAAATAAATGATGAGACTCTTAAGATTCTCATACAGATGAGAAATCAGAAGCCCAGAGAGTTAATAGTTCAAACACACTATTGTGTTTTGAACACAATCAAATAAACATCTTAGCTGGAGATTGGAGCTGAGCTGCCAGTGCTGATGAGGGAAAACATAAAACCATGCCTTAGTTCTCTACAACCAGAAAAAAAGCCCCTTGGCACTGGGACTCTCATCATCTGATCACCCTGACTGGACCAGATGAAGAGTCCTAGCTCCCCTCCAGGATGAAAAAATCATAACAACATTGCAGCTAGGGCCCAAAGTATACATGTTGTTGTTGTTCAGTCTTGTCTGACTCTCTGTGATACCATTTGGAGTTTTCTTGCGAAAGATAGTGGAGTGGTTTGCCATTTCCTTCTCCAGCTCATTTTACAGAGGAAGAAACTAAGGCAAACAGGGTGAAGTGACTTGCCCAGGGTTACACAGCTAGTGTCTGAGGCTGGATTTGAACTCAAGAAGATGAATTTTCCTGACTTCAAGACCAGCACTCTACCCACTGTATCTACCATTGCTAATTGAGAAGGGTGTGACAGTCTACTGTCCTGTGTCTAGCATAGTGCCTGGCACATCGTAAGCATTAATAAATGCTTGTTGACTTATTGACTACATCTATCAAAAATTTCTCTCCTTCTCTCTGAATCCCCCAGATTCAGAATTGAAGGATGCCTATGTGAAAATTCCTTTCTATCCTATTCTTACTCTATTTCTATTTGATTATCACTCTCCATCCTCCCCAGACTTCTCAGCCCTTTCTGCCTGTCCCTGATCCCTATTCCATTCTTCTCTACCCTTAGGTATACTGTGCCATTTGGAATTTTCTTCACATTAAGCCTGTGTTTCTCACACTCCTGCCTTCTTGCAATCAGGGTAACTTGGCTCCCCCCAAGACACTGCATCCATGACCTTCTCCAATACCAACACACTGTCAGAAGGAGGCAAACTATCTATTGGCCACCATCAGTTAGCACCCTCTCCTAATTTGAATTTCACTCCATCCAGACATATTACTGTATTCAGATGCTGGAGGGAGTTATCTTCCAGATGCCAGGTCATTTCTCCTTTCTTAAGAAGTTCAGTTCATCCCTGGAGACAGGAGGATGTGAGTTCAGCCTCAGACACTTGACA